TGCAGCCCTGTGCCACGTGCTCTAGGTGACCCTGCGTGAGCAGGGGGGTTGGACTCGATGACCTCTGAGGTCCCTTCCAACCTTCGGCATTCTATGATTCTATGATTCTTTTTCCTCCAGTCTCAGCAATAGGTCCCTATTCAGCCAGGCCAGTCGTCTTCCCCTCCAGCACATCTTATGGCACCTGGGGACGGCCTGCTCCTGTACCCTAAAGATTACCTTCTTGAGAAAAGTCCAGCCTACTTGGATCCCTTTGCTCTTCAGGACTGTCCCCCACAGGACTCTCCCAATCAATGTTCTAAGCAGGTCAAAGTCTGCCCCCCAGAAGTCTAATGTACCGATTTTGCTGATGCCCCCCCAACTTCACCGGRGATTGAAAATCCTATCATTTCACTTTGCCCAAGATGGCCTCTGACCACCATATCTCCCATCAGTCCTTCTCTGTTCACAACAAGCAGGTCCAGTGAGGCTCCTTCCCTGGTAGACTCACTTAACAGCTGTGATAGAAAGCCATCTTCCACACACTGCACAAATTCTAGATGTCTTCCTGTCTGCTGTATTTTATCTTCCACAAACATCAGGTAGGTTGAATTCCCACATGAGAACAAGGGCTGCTGATTGTGAGACTTCTGTCAGTTGCTTGYAGAATGTCTCATCTGTCTCATCATCCTGGTTGGGTGGTCTATAGCAGACTTCCACCAAGATAWCAGCCTTGCTGGCCTTCCTCATGAATCTGATCTATGAACACTCTGCGTTTCAATCACCCCCTTCCAGCTCCACACAATCAAAGCACTCCCTGACATACATCGCTATGCTAYTTCCTTGCCTGGCCCTTCTGAAGGGCCTGTTGCCATCCATTGCAGCCCTCCAGTCACTAGTGGTCCCACCATGTTTCAGTGATGGTGACATCATAGTTTTCCTGATGCACCGTGGCCTCTAGCTCCTCCTGTTTGTTGTCCATGTTGCACACATTGCTGTAGATGCGCTCCAGCTGAGCTGCTGAGGCTCTCCCCCAAGCCTGACATGCAGCCCCTAGGCTCATCCTTAGTGATCCCACTTTTACCCCCCAGCCCCTTCATACCTAGTTTAAAACCCACTCAGTGAGACACCGCCAACTCCTGGGCAAGCATTCTTTTCCACCTTGAAGGACAGGTGAATCCCATCTATTGCCATGACGACCAGTGCTGTATGGACAAACTGGAAAACCCAAGAATTGCTCATGACACCAGCCTCTCGGCCACCTGCTCAGCAGGTGGTTTTTCCTGTTGCTCTCAGCGCCCTTCCCTGACACTGAGGGGATGGAGGAGAACAGCGGCTGCGCTCCTGCTCCCTCAACTGATCTTCCCAGAGCCCTGAAGTCCTTCAGCGCWGGGCCGGGGGAAGCCAAGCACAGGCATAAAACTGGGGCTGAAGCAAAGCCCTAGGGGAAACCAGGGGTGCTAGGGACACTTGGCTCTTGCTGAACTTTGTTCTGCAGGGCAGACAGGCTGCCTGTTGTCACGCCCAGGGCAATGTTTAGGTCCAGCTCAGCGTTCAGGGGACAAGGGCACTGCCAGACACTGAGGCACAACGATAACCCCCAAGCCCGGAGGAGAGGACTCGCACTTTTCTTTTGCAACTAAGCATGACTTGGAGGATGTAGGATTGCCCCTCTCCTATGTTGTCCTGGTGGGGCTGAGGAAAGCGGGCAGAGATCCTGCTTTAGGCCAGCAGGCAACTGCAGGAGTCATTTGAGAGCTCATTTTGAGGGGGTCTTAAGCCTCATCCCTGCACCACATCTCCTGCTTCTGATGTGGTCATGACGTTGGGTAGAGAGAACTGGTGTGGRAGAGGAGCAGAAATGTAAGCAGGAATGAACAGAGTGGAGGAAGAAAAGCAGCACAGCTTTGCCCGTTGGTTGTAACAGGAAACGTGTCCTGTAATAAGGCATTTTGGACTCTGCAAATAGAGCAACGTGCAGAATCACTTCACGGSTTGCCTGGAAGCCGGGGGAGCATCAGCTAGGGCCCATTCAATACAGCGCTCGCAATAAAAGACGCCAGCAAGTTAGCTTTAAAAATCTTTATGTGACTATAAAAGGATTCTTTCCAAAGCAAAATTAAACCACGGTGTAAAAATTAGTGCAAAGTTCTATGCAGCACAGTGTTACACTTGTTTTAAAGAGAAAATGGAGACACCGATACTCTGAAAACTTACCCCAGCTCGACTAATAAGGGGAAATGGAAAAAAAAAGCAGGACAAAGTTACTTTACAAGACATTTTCAATTGCTAAACAGGCTCTTTTTATTTTATAATTGCTGGACAACTATGGCTACTTAAATAAAACACCAGTATTGCTTATATTGCTTATTTCAAAGTAGATATACACTGTATAAAATAGAATACCTGCACTTTATTTTTAAATAAAGAAAAAAAAATCAAGTGAATATTTTCAGTGAMTATTAATCCACTAAAATATAGCTGTTACAAAAGAATCTTGTCTAATCTGCTGCCTGATACACTCTGAGACTCTAATCATCAGTCTAAAATTCATATTATTGCCACAAGAGTCTTGTTTCATAATGCTTATTCTTAATCACATATTAAAAAGTTAGTAATTAACAAGTAGCATCATTTCAATCAGAACCTTTTTGTTTCTTTGGATCTCTATTACCCGTTTTTCTGGAAACTGTCCACAATTACTCATAGTGCTGATTAAATTCAGCAATGTTCAGCAAAGATTTCATCTCGTTATTTGATTCTGTTTGTAATGGTGATATCTGAGCCTCTTTCTTTGCACTGCGTCAATAATAGGCATAGCTCAACAACACTGCCTTAAAAGAAAAATCAAAATTCAAAACATCACTGCATTTGTATCGTCTTTACTTCTTACACATACTTTGCTAAGCTGTTAGTAGCTTTTCTTTTTGTTTAACATTAATAGGTTTAACATCAAAACAATACTTACTGTCATCATCCTTTCTGCATGCCCTGAATGTGCTGAAGTGAACACAACACCATGGCTTATAATGAAATATTTATTTCTACAGATCAGTTCCTCATTCACAGAGGTAACCCAAATTTAACCAGATACGCTATAGCTGCTCTTTCATGGGTTCTCAAATTCCCAAATGGATATTAAATAAARCTATGTTCACAAGCTAAAGCTTTAACAGTTAAACAGTTAAAAAAATCTTATATCCAAACAGCAGAATTATTTTTGGTATTCCCAATACGGCTGTGGTACATGACACTGTCTGAAAAAATGTGGGCCCTTGTCTATGGGTTAGGTATTACATTTTACTTTCGTCTCCACTCAGAAGACAGTGCTCCAACAAAAGGTTTAGGAACAACTCGGTCATTTATGGTCCCAGGGTTTGCATTTTGAGAGTGTACAAAGACCTTTGCTTCAAGGCTTCCACTACTCCACACTTGATCTGACTACTGACACAACTCCACTGTTGTGGAAGGTATGACAAATGCATTAAGTCTACTAGCTAGGTAAGAATTCGAATCATGTCCTTGAAAGGTTTTGTGCTGTGAAGAACGAGGGTGAAGAGACCCATTCAACACAGCTAGTGACAGCTCTGTTCCACGTTCCACTAGAAAACACTGAAGTACCAGGATTTAGAAATGCAGCATCCTGCTGAGACCTACTTATGATCCACTGCCACCACCTCTCACACCACTAAGAGATTAAACAAGGAATCATATCTTAAAAATACAAAACCAGTAACTGCAGTACAAGACTTCAAAACCCAAGAGGTAGTCAAAAGAAGCACAGAGTCCCCCCCAAAAAAAAAACATGTCAGACCCAATCGTCCAGCAGCATTTTTTTTTTCCAAAACATTGACTGCTCATACTATACCTAGCATGTGACTGGCTTATAAGAAATACTTTATACAGACTTAAGTTTTGTGAGAAGAAATCTTAGTTSAATGCCTAAGTATGTAATACTGTAAACCATCACCACAATTAAGAAGCAACACTTACTAAACATTAAACATGAATGTTCCCCTTTTTCACTTGTACCACATACAAGGCCGAGAATGTATATAAATAATATACGTAAGATTCTGAGGAAGGATGAAAATAAAGAACAGGCTTCACTTAATGTCATGCAGAATTCAAAACTACTCAAAATTCACAATTCAAAGCATACTGAAGACAATGAYGCCAATTCTGCAAAGCAAAGCTGAACTCAGCTCTCAAATCAAGGACRGTTTTAATTGTGAAGACAGGCACAAGTTTTCAATCATGCAGATGACTTTGATATTACATTACTGACTGTACAGCACCCCCAAATACTTACTGAATACTTACTCATCTTATTTTAAGGGCTGCTGCAATTTTTTACTTGACTAATGATATTCTCTAGACAGTTTGTAAAGTATAGTAGATGTTAACTGTTTTTAAAGATATGGTTAATAACAAAAATAAGACATCTTGTAAATAAAAGTGACAAAATTTTATGAAAAGTGGTGAAACTTCCCCTCGACCAAATTTCAGCTACCAATCCCAATTTCATCTTCCTATATGCAGACACTGGATTTACTACAGCTTACGCGCTTTTCTCCCTGCCAGCAAACAATCTTTGCTGCCAAGGATTAACAAAGCTCTCTTCTAGTAATCTACCTAGCACAATTACTTCACAGTAACTATACAGATACATATAAATCTTGATTTCTACTTATTTCTATGCTCAGGACTGTGTAAATGAACTAGAAGTTAAAGGGTTCTTTCCTACGTACTCCTGCTCCAGAAGGGAAAGCAGTGTATGAAACTCCAGAATTTTAAAACATAGCCCAGGTTTTTGAGTTAACACAATAGCTTTTTTCTTCAATGGGGAAAAAACCCAGCTTATTTGGCTTCAGTGAATTCAATATCTTAGTGTATATATGCACAAAGCTTATTTTAATAAGCTTATAATTTTGCCTCTGACTTGAGATGATACAGCCTGTCCGTCATACAACTCATCCTCAAATTACTACATTTTTATACATGTAAATATTTTCTTGCTTCTGAAATTGTACTCCTGTGTTCTAAAGAATAGCGTTTTTGAACCAATGCCAATCTTTTAAAATTATTTTTAAAAGACCCCAGCAGAAGTGTCCAATATTGCTAGTTTCCTGAAGTATTTTTTGCATAAATTTTCCTATTACAAAAGTCAACTTTGCAGCTCAAACACATTAAATAAAGTGTTAAATATATAGTGCCAATTTTTATATTTACAATATATTCTGAAGGCAAATATAAATCTTAAGTTGTGCTTTTAAATACATACTGCAGTTAAGAAATCTAATTCTACTTGGAAAACTAGTGCTACTTTTTAGATGATCAGATTAATCACTTCTGGYGCTGAATTCACAGTTGCCCACTGTTCTAACCTCCTCTTTCTGCAGTCATTAAAGTGGAAGCTACAAAATATTTAAGGACACTTTAGCATACAAGCTTTCCTCATGGTTTAATCAGATGTTGCACCAGGTACTTTGACGGTGAGATTCCTCCTGGTATTGGTGACATGACGTTGCTGCGCAAGGAAGGAGCGTCCAGGACCATCTCTGCAGGTACCACTACTGCCAACAAGTCTAGCTTCCATACCTAGCTTCTGGAGAGCCAGGCTCTGCAAATAAGTATAACTTAAAGTTCAGCAAAACTGAAAAGAAACACAAAACTAACAGTCCCCCCCATATCCCCAGTAATCTTCCATCTGTAAACCTCATATTTACAGAAGACATACGTAGAGTTTCTTTCATTGTGTTTCTAATATAGCCTTCTATTGCTATAAAAGGTATAGAACCAACGCAGAAGAATCCAAGATTCATTCTTTATACAATCTGTTAAGTTTAGGTTATTGAAAAGTTACTTCTTCACTAACTGCARCTATTAACCATTTTAATTTACTTTCACCGTTTGATTTCCTATTCTAGTTTTCCTTTATGGAATTCTATTTAAATCTGCTCTGAATGAACAGCTTTTTGAGTCCTTTTCAAAGCAAACRTTCTCACAGTCTTTACAGCACTATTTTAAGATTAGTAGTAGTATATTAACTTAATTTCACACATACTGTGCTAAAGACATGTTACACCTGAAGCAGGAATTTGAAAGCCTTTGAAACCATTATCTCTGTCTCGTGGCTAACAATCTCAACATTAACAAACGCCTATAAAATATTCAGGATTTAATTTGCTAAATCCAGGTGGAAAGTTAACTATGACAGAAGTCACATTATTTACACAGAAGTCACAGTCTGTATCAAATTTGGTCTATGTTTCACAGCACAGGAAGACAAAGAAAAATGGAAATTTACTACTTTGTAAAGTTGTTTTCTTACACTTGTATATTTTTCCCTTTAGCCTGCTTTCAGGTATGCTGATGAGAACACTTCCAAATCTCAGCTTGAGATGAGAACACAGGAACAGAAATTTCAGCCAGAACACCCAGAACTTTGATGATAAAACCAGTTTATTAGCAAGTGGAAGAAAGTTATCTCATTTTAAACTGCGGCCACTGGGTACTGTTCCTTTCCTTAGTACACTATGTTTAGGCATGAAGTTATGTTACCCTGCAAACTGGATATTTCTGGCAAAGTTACAACTAAATTACTGGCTTAACTACAGCTAAGCTCTCTTCTAAGCACCACATTATAGTGAATCCAAAAAGAGAACTGAGCTGTAGAACTGTCACATCTAGTGAAATGGGTTGTTCTGATTTCCTAAGATACCAACAACAAACTTTTGACTCACCTTGTTATACCATGCAGTTACAATTAGTTTTTCCTCATAATCACGTAACTTAGCAAGTTTGCATTCAGTCTACAAAGAGACAGACGACAAGGTCAGTTCACACACAAGAAAACTGCCTAAACATAGTGCAGTCCATAGAGTAAAATAAACATCTACAGGAGAAATATTTAAACATGCAAAATAAGCAGAAAGCCTCGCAGCATAAATAAAAATTCTTCCATAAACAATTGTGACAGAAATTACAGGCTGCCACAAGAAGAGGATAAACTTTGTTATAGAGGTTGAAATACCAATTTCAAATGTTGTTTGAGGACAGAAAACATGCAAAGTCTGGTGTTTATCAGAAAGTCTATAAATAACATAGCAGTTTAGCAGTTGTTCACAGGCTAAATATTCTTAATGATACAGYTGAGTTATTATTATATAGTGCGCTACTAAATAATGCTGCAAACATGTAAGCAAAAATTGAGGCCACAGCATTTACAAAGTCAGACATTTAAAGAATACTAACTTGAGGGGAGGAATTTTGTGTTTCTTCAATTAGCTGTTCTAACCAGTCCTGTCCATACARTTGCAAACCCAAAAGCGGCAAGTCCCATTTTTTTGGTACGTACACCAATGTCAGCATTCCCCCTCACAGARGCATAGCCAAGCAGATACCACTGAATTAACAGGTTTTACTCTTGCATATGTTTTCAAGAACTCCAGTATATGAAGCCATCAATATCTTAGATTTAATATACTAAACAAGTCCCTGCCAAAACAGTTAGTCCATCATACCGAGTTATTTATTACTGATAAAGATAATATCCTGCACTCTTGCACAAATCACTGCAGTGCAGTAAAAACATTAATCTTGAACAATTTTTCACATGCAAATTTTCAGACTTTCAAAAATCCAAGTCAAATTATTCAAATTGTACACTGAAAAACAAAACAAGTCTCAGTACTGATAGACCTAACAGAATAAAATGTGAATTAACCTAAGCTAAAAATCTGTAGTATTGATGGCCTATACAGTTGCTAATTGACAGCAGTATTTGAAGGGTACTGGATCGTGAGAAAAGCAAAACAAACCAAAAAACCCGAGTGCTTAATATCTGAAAAACAGAATATGTTAAAAGTTATTAAAATACAAAATTACCTCCAATGACTCGATTCTTTTATCTTTCTCCGTCATCTGTTTTCTGAGCAACATAATTTCTGCTGATGCTGGATTTAGCTTGGGGTCTAATGTTTTTATCACCTGCACAAGAAAAAAAAAAAAGTGCATTGCAAATGAGATTTCATTCTTGGCAGCTTCCATCTCATTTAATCACAGAGGAAATAGGAAGGCAGGCTGAACACTCTTCATGCAGTCACGTTAAAAACCACATTGCTAACCAAGCAAGTCAGAAGGCATCAAATGGTATAAAAGAATCGGCAATGGGTCTCTCACTTTTCGTTTCACTCCAAATAGAAAAGTAGTAGCTGCATGATACATTTTTAGCTCAAATTGCTTGGTTCCAGATGGTTAGTAAGTATATGAAAGAACAGGTTAAAGTGAGAGAACCATTGCCGAGTTCATCTCTTTAATCAGTTTATGAACGAGGAATGCATATGCTCAGAAGCACTCTATGTCACGCACRTTTCTTGCTTTCTCAAGGTACATTTTGTATCTTTCTTCCATTGCTTTCATATCTTCATCTTTTTTACGCAAAGCTGCTTCCAGTTCTCCAATCTTCTGAGCTATTTAGAAAAAAACAAATAAAAGAAAAACGCTAAAATACATAAAGCACATCAGAACTTGGGTGTTCTCTTCATTTTGTTCTCCAATCAACTTTTAAGATTCTGACAGTTTCCCATACAAGTATACAAGTTCATAGTTCTTTTTTTTCCAGTAGTACCATTAGTTCCCACCTGACCCCGATCTCCCATTTTGCAGGATACTGTTAAAACAAATAAGAAACTGAAGATCCCTGCTAATTCCCATTATGCCCCCTTTTTCCTCTCCCRTCTCTTATTTCAGGTTTAAAGCTAAATTTGAGTAGAAACCCAACAAGTATTTGCTTACAGGAGGCCACTTCAAATGAAACAATTAAGCCTTATGAAGATACTTACAGTTCTGAGTAACATCAGGTTGAAGTTCTGCAAGAAGAGCCTCTTTCTTCTCCAACTCATCATGAACTTCACTCAACTTTTCCCTATAAATCAAAAATATGATCTAGGGATTAAATTTATATCTAATTTCATACAGTCCTAAGATCTTAAAGCTTGAACTTGACAGTAGAAAGTTTAAAATAAACAAACAAGTCTCTCCACCTGATCTTGAGATACTTTTAAGTTTAAATAAAATTATTAGATTTATAAAATTAAGTTATGATTAAGGTAAGTATTTTTAAAAAACTATAAAAATAAGTTCCCAAGTTACAACTTCCCGAGTCTTGTTTACATAAGATTAGAAGCAAATTAACAACCAAAAATCCCTAGCATCTCTTTAATAGGTCACATCAGCTGAAACGATGGAAGAATTTTAGAAGATGAAATGAGTTCCCAATCTGGTAAGAGTGATGGTTATAACCACCTGATACAGAATTAGTACAGTTAAAATGCCAGTGGTGATGAAGACACTTGAAACCTACTCCTGTTACAAGATTATCATGATCMAAGTAGACAAAATTAAACTTGATTCTTAACTCACTACATTTATAGCTCYCAAAATGGTGACTTGGAAAAACAAGAGATACTCAGCACTATGAAGATTAGAAGCACCTGCTGTGCTATATGTCCATTTATTTAGTATAAATAACTGTTTTGCAGACGCATGAGCCTTACTTACATATGTGCTGCCAATTTCTGCTTCAGGTTGCTAGACTATAAAAGAAAAAGCTCAGTCAGTTGTATTTCAGTGATTCATACATGCATTATTAAAAGTARTTTTACAAACAGGAGCCCAGAATACTTAAAATAATGTAGTTATTTTAGTATTGACTTATGTTCAGGGCAAACAAAATAGCATTTCTTTATGCACTGCCATAATTGCATTCATGTCTTTTGCACCATAGAGACACCAAATCCAGCAACCTTTAACAATATTCTTCTCATAGCACCACGTAGCATAAAAATGTAACTTATAAAATAAGGAGGCAAAAGGTAGRAGAGTTATGTTTCTTTGAAGATTTGGGGAGGGGGCAGTCACATACTGGAGCTTTTCAATCAAAATGCACTTGACATGGGGTTTTCTGGATCCTCAGAYTACACTGACTGAATTCATATGCTCTGAATATTATTGAGCGACATCTGCCATGACTGTACAATCTAAATTGAGGAAAATGTTTGCAGGCAGCATGGAAAGCTTTTAGAGCACACTAAATCTCAAATGTTAATGACCACTGCTTGTCATATATTTGAAAGCTGCTGCTGCTTTCATCCAAAAGGAGTGTCTAAGTTTGTCATGCTATCTTAGTATTTCAAAACTAGAGGGTTTCAGCTTAATAAAATGAGGCATTAAAACATCTTGTTAGTGGTTATCAGCACTAAACACTGAAAAAGTCACATGTGAACAAATGTCTTGGCGCTGAACAGAAGAATTTTAAACAGAAGTGGCAAGACATCTTGAAGTTCAAGGAGTCTGAGCTTTCACTTACTCCTTCAGTCTTGAATCCCTGCTCTTGTAAAGTCTTTTGCAGATCCTCAATCTGCTGTTGCAGCTCTCCAATACGCTCTTCATTTAGCCTTTCAGGGAGAAAAAGACAGTTATTATCCATCTTCTAAGTAGGTCAAAACACACAGTGAGATTTTTCTTTTTTATGCCTGGATGATAATTTTTCAGAGGGTTTACTCAGCAGGACTTTAGCTGCAAAGAACTGATTTCAAATGCTTTCAGTTTGACCTGAACTGCTGGAGCACGTATTTGGAAGCTTTATTAAGCATTTCTTAAGAACAAACAAACAAACCAACCCACAGAATCACTGAATTTTGAGCAAGTTTACTGCTAGAATTCTTGTATCTTAGACTGCTTTCRGCAGTTATTAAGTGAGAGAAATTCAGACCACATTCCAGCATCATGACAACACAATTTCTGTGCCATTTTAAAAGTAAAATTCTTCCTTTCAACAGGCGAGTATCTGTTCTTGGCCTACCAACAATCATTTGCTAAATGACTGATTCTTTAGAAGAGCTGAAAGAGTCCTATAAGCAATAGTTTCTTGACAGCACACTGAAGACAGAGCTTACTGCAGAGTGCTATACTGCAGATGCAAGTTACACAGCCTCTCTGAAGGTCCAGAAATTACATTTTGCTAGATTTTAAAATGCCGTTTCATCCATCACCTTTTCTCAGTTTCCAGTTCATTTACTGTCCGGTGTTTTTGCTCCAGTTGTTCCTGAAGTTCTGTAATACGTTCATTTTCTGATCCTTCCTGTTGCAATAGAAGCATCTTGTTTTCATGCTGCAGCCGAATAAACATTTCCCTAAATCAAAACACCCCAAAAAAAAAGAGAGAGAGGAAGAGAGAGAAGAAAATTAAGAAATAATTAAGAAAACTGACCTAGAATAAGAGGGAAGTGTTCCCATTCCCTTTCCTCACTCCCAAGAAGGGCAAAAGAAGTTTTCTTTAAGACTGTAGTTAGGGAAACAAATCAATTTTTGATTAAAAGGCAATTTACAACTATCAAGCAACACAGGTCTGTTTTTGAAGAGATAAACAAAGCTTTAAATTAAACCACTCTAAATCCAATATTTATTCTGTCTACGCTTTCCTCTCCTAAACTTTTGGAGTAATATCAGCTAGTCTTTAGTTACTTTTAGTTTCTCATTAGTATTTATTCCATTTGCCAGCAGCAAGATGAGAATTGTTTAGCTCTTTACAGAGAATCTTGCAAGTCAAACTACGCAAAGTAATTTGATATGTCTTTAATAAAAGAATAAACACCAGGGGGAAAAGCTTAAACAAGAAACAGAGAACCCTTTAGTAAGCCCCAGTGAGGGAAAATAAAAAAAAAAATGGGATAGAGAGTGGTTTGCCAAAAAATATAGACCTTTCATAGAAATAATTAAGATGATGAAATCCCCAAACGAATCCAACTTCATCTTACCTATATTCCACTGGCAGAATTTCAGCAGCAAGATTATCATGACTTCTAACATGAGACGCATCTGAAATTGCACAGGAAGTTTAAATTAACAAATTTCTAGATACCKAGTAACATAGATTAAAAAGCCTCTGCAGCTAAAGCCATACCTGTTTGGCTCAAGTGATCCTGTTGCATTTGTGAACACCGGAGCTCTTCATTAGTTTCTTTTAAAGCATCACATTGTACAATCAGTCTCTACGAACATACATATTTTAGATACTTGAGGTAGAAATTATATTGTACCACAGTAAGACTAAAACATTGATCAAAAGTACAGAACCCAACAATAACTTTTTCTTTTTATGCACTACATCTTCATTTGTACGGTAGCACTAGTATTTAGGTATTTTCCTCAAGCACATTCAATTTGCAGATTATCCACATTACCAATGCACTAGGTATTAATGTAAAAACTCTAATTCAAGAGACTTACCTCTTTTTCTTTGCTTAAAGCTTCGTGTTTTTCTTCAAGTCGCTTCATTTCAAATGCTAACTTATCAGCCCTTTTTGATTCTTCAGAGAGTTTGTTATGAAGCTCCTGGACCTTTTCATAAAGGTACACAGACAGAATATTCAGCACATGAGTGTTTCAAGATGCTACCTAAAAGCAATGTTAAAACCTTCACTCCTGTCCAGTTCGGCCAAAATGAACAACTAGTCCTCAAGTCTTTTTGCTGTTGCTGTTAATTAAGATGCAAGTGTCTTTTTGGGTGATTTAACAAGTCCAAGAATTTCTTTTTGGTTTTTTTTTTTTTTTTTGGAGGAGTTGAATGCTTTACAGTTGAAATAAATATGACTTTTACTGTTTAAAATTATTTTCTCTGAAGGAAGTTGAGAATATTACAAGCAAAAAAAATCCTCATAACAGCTGAACACCCTCTGTCAGGTACAGTAATTACTTCAATTAAAAACAAAACCACAYTCCCAACTAATGGGCAACTAATCGCTTGAAAAGAAAGCTACAGGTARGTGTGCTACCTTAATTAAGAGACAGTCAAAGATACAGGCTAAGTCCAAGGGCTGTTAAGCAGCTCAATTTTTCAGTGAAACATAATTAAACGACCAGTATTTAGGAAAGAAAAATATCTGAGAAATATTGATGTGTTAAGTAGAGATGTAGCCCTACCTGTCTTTTGTACGTTTCTAACTGGGCGCGTGCTGCGTTGGCTTTCTTCAGTTCTTCCTCTAAACTGACTGTATTGTGCATGTACATCATGTTGGTTTCCTGCAAAGATTTCACTTGTCTGCGAAAGTCATTCAGATCCTGTAGCTTTTTACGGTACACTTCAACAGTTGATTCCAGCTTATTTGCCTTATCTGCAGTAGTCCTTAAAGGATAGACAGAATTACAGAAGAAAAAGYATGTTTCTTCTAAAGATGAATGTCAGATTTTGCTTTCATACACATTCAAGCTTTTTGCAAAGGGAGAAGTATGCTAACCAAAAACAGAATTAAATTCCTACTGCTTTATTTTTAACTGTAGAATGAAATTAATATTAAATTACACAAATACTGTTTTTAAAAGTGAAATCACTGAAGGGTTTAAGTGAGAGCAAGACTGACAATATATATGACAGATGCACCAACACAGGTTAACATAGCAARTATCTCTAGGGAATTCTGCAGAGTGAAATGTAAATGCACCACTGCATCCTGCACTAAATATTCATCTCAAAGCACTGGCACCTGGCAAGGGCAGACATGCAGATGTCCTCATTAAAGGGTTATACAGAATTAGTACATAATTATACTATGAAAATTATAGTTAGCAGATATGCCCAAGGATTACAAACTGATTACTAAAGAAAAAAAAAAAAAAAAATCACATGTGGGCCGAAGATATTTTTATTCATATATAAATACCGTGTTTACAACCTGACATCTCATACCTCTGGAAACCAGTATAAGAAAATTTCAGAAGAAAGTTTTTTGTACTTAAGATTTGTTTAGATATTAGTACAGGACCGCTGTASAAAGAACACCTGAAACTGCTTTTGTTCCATGGTTTATTTATAATACTGTCTGAAWTGCAGACCTAGTTTAGCTTATACAAGGTTTATGTTAAATTCTCAGGAGTGATTAGGAATTTCATTTTCATTTTGATAAGAGCATAGCTGTATGAAGTTATGTCAAAGTTCAACCTGCATATTTATTTTTCTGCATCGGAAAGCCAGCCTCTTGCTAACACAGATGTCCTCTTAATAAAATCCACATATATACACAAATTAAAGTCTTAATCCTTGTAGAACTTAATTTTCCAGCCCATGTGAAGCAAAGCCATTCCTATATTAATTAATCTCACTTCACGGAATACTTCTGAACTCCTATTTTTATAGGAACACTAGTGGTTGTGTCTGTTAATTCGTATTTCATCTCTGTTTTGTCAAAAGCTCATTTCCCAACATTTATTTTTGATCCTGTTCAGTTAAGACGTACTCTCAAAAGTAACATCTCGGAAMAATTCTGTCAATAAAAATTCGGATAAATCCTGTCAATAAGAAAGCAAGCTGTGACTGTTACCTAAGAACATCAATTTCATCCTTGAGGGCTCTAGATTCTTCTGCCAAAGAGGTTAATTCATCATTTCTATGTTGCAGTTCAATTAGTTGTTTCTCCAGATCTTCACAATGGACACGATAATCATCTTTTGCAGCTTCAAGCCTACCAGATCAGAAATACAAAATTTGTTAAAACTCATTTGTATTAATACCCTCTGCTCATATGATGACAATTTCATTACTATTAAAAGCAAGCCACTACYGACTAAAGGCACCACAAAATGCAAATGCTGCTGCATACATGAAACTACATTTCATCATCTTGTTAAATCACAATTAACTCTTTTATTGTACCAGGTTCAAAGGACCCGTATAAAAAAAGTTTTCTTTCTTTTTAAACAGCATTTAGAGAGGGAAAAAGAATCTATATTTTTTTTTAAAAAAAGTCAGTACAGTCAAGTGATATTTTTCCACACATCATTTTGGACTTGATTTTCTGCTACCTACCTACCTATCACCTGTTTAAAAATATGACAGAGTCACAATATTTTTAATTATAARTAAGTGTTGATTTTTCTTTTTAAATGTTAGGATTATCTTTAAAACATGTTAGATTAAAAAAGCAYTGGGAAGCTTTTAAAGTACCAATGGAATTAAGGAATTAAAATGGAAAATCCTGGAAGAATATCAGACATTCTTAGATCACATTTGGCATAAATAAATACTTTTTTAAGAGAAAAGTAAGTTCTTTCATACCTGAAGTTTTCTTCTTGGAGTTGTTCCAGCTGCAACTGTGCATGAAAATACTTTTTTGCAACCACAGTATTTGGATCATCAAGAGAGTCATCTAATTGCTCTAACCTGTCATTCATAACCTCATTTTCTGACATCAAGTTGTTCTTTTCATCCTGAAGGGCAGCCACCTAGCACAGATAAAACAGCACAAACATTTTAAGTTCTGTCCAGTTGGAAAGAGCTGAAGCAAGACTGTAATAATTCAAATCAGCTTATGAAAAAAAGACTGAGAAACTTTAAAAAGAAATTACACAGCATACTTAAGCATACAGGTGCTTTAGTGTATGAAAGCTATGAAGCACTGAACGTTTTTCTGAAAAYGACATTTTTTTTAAAACTGAAACCATGGTAAAGGCATACAATGTACTATGGAGAGAAACCGGTATTTTCCATAAAAAAAAAAAAAAAAAGAATACCACGGACGCCATACAAAAGTCTTTATGTAGTAGTGTACTCTCCATCTTGCTTGTACGTAAAAATAAAAAGCAGGATGGCACTGGCTAGCACACGAACACAGTACTGCCGTGCGCTCAGCAGTGATGGTTGAGCAAGAAGCAGTTCCAGGCGCCGTAAGCTGGGAAGCACACACGCAAAAGAAAAAACCTCAACAGCTTCGTACTCAGCATGCAGTTTTTGCAACAGTCAAACGAGTTCGATATTGAGAGTGTTCACAGCTAAGCAAATGAGAATACAACACTGTGCTAAAACAGTAAGTATATTAACAGCCATAAAATGGGGAAGGATTAAAAGGATAGAACCTTTAAAGTTTACTAGTGAAAGATGTTAATATTAAGATCCTGTCAAACATAAGAGCATGTAGCATGTGTTAGTTAACTGGCATTTAAAACAGGGACAATGCACTTTTTTAGGTTATGTTTTCCTAGATCATAAAGAAAACCTACCTTTCTTATATTCTTGGAAAATATCAAGGAAGACTGAGACCTTACAAGTGAATTTATTAAGAATTAGTTTAAATGAGAAGTGTCAGTCAATTATGGCTTCAATAAATAAATTAAAAAAACATATCATGGCGATATAATTAACTAAAACATCAAATTCAACCTAAATATTGCAACACTAAGAAACCCCTTGCTTGCAATCATAATTTAAAATCTATCAATCAAGCAGCTGCAAGAAATAAATCAGTAATTCTTCTACCATTGTACTGGATGCTGCTTTTCTAGGTCCATTCCTTTTTAAAGGTCAACTTCTTATATACATGCACATACAGACACCCAGTAAACATCGTATCTGAGACTTACTCAGTGCAAGCCTCCCTGCTCCAGGTTCAGCCACTCCCTGAACACCCACAACACCCATATTTTTAGAATAATGTTATAAGAACACCTGTCTCTGGCTTCGAAAAAAACCTTTTCACATAGTCAAAGCTAGGCTTCTAGCTTTGTTTTGGTTCCTTCCCGATAGCTTTCTCTTTTCCACAGTTTTGGCTTAATAGAATGGGAGTAAAGCCTTTTATCTCTGTTTTGACTCACAAGTCTTACTRTGACTTCAAGGAAAAGGGAGTTGAAGTATCAATACAACTCTAAAAAAAATTGTCGGGCATCTGCAATTGGCAGTAAGAGTTCATTTTAAATATAGCAAACTCTTCCAGGCATTTCTATTTATAAGAAAAGCAGAAATAGGCCTCTCTTTTCTCCCCAGAGGGACGTAGAGCTGAGACAGAACACCAGCTCCCTAAAAGAATGCTACGCAAATGTCTTCATACAGGATCAAATCTAAGATCAACTGCATCTTTACATAAAACTCTTTCAATTCTGCTATGTAGTACCATAAAACAGGAATAAGACTTTAAGCTAACTTTTTTTTTTAATCTATTTAACTGAAATGCAAGTAACCATTTATTGTGCTTAACCACTGTTTGCTGCTTTGAAGTCCTCTTTCTCTCTGCAAAAAAACAGATTTCTATAAACTTCTCTCATTAAAAACTAAGGTAGACCTATTACCAGTGTGGTTTGCAAATGTCAACAAGGACCTATCAGCTTTCATTATTTTTAATTCATTTAAATTCTCCATGTTGAAACTCTGCCCACAGCAAAAACAAAAACTTATTTCAAGTAAATTTCAAGTTTCAGTCTTCTCAACACTCATGCAAAACAGTTTTTTTGTTCTCTCCTTTGATTCAATCACAGTTATATGAATTGTACTTTAGGACATAGTTCTGAGGACTAAAGGCAGCAGTGACTGAAAATGAACTTACAGATGTATTTTTTTCTGGCTACTTGATACTAAGAATAAATACAAAGCTAGCAACAAAGCAACCTCTGGTTTCACAACTGACAGARTAGCTCAGCTTTACATTAGAACAACATTTCAAGTAATCATGTTGCTTTCCCCCACAAAAGGACAGTTAAGAATTCTTACAAAATCTTCCAAGTAAATACAAAATTCACTGTGATCTTCAGATTTTTTGCTTAATAATGTCACCACCACACGCCTTAGAAATAAGCAGTCTGTTGGTTCTTACCTGTAAATCTAGCTCTTGGCATCTTTGTGCCAACTCCTCTTTTTCCGATAGTGCTTCCTGAAGTTCTTCCAAAGCTCTCTTAAGCTTATAAAAGCAGAAGACAGTCAATTACTCTGGCCTATAACCAAAGCACTTCTTTCTTCCTACATGTCTCAATTACCCATGCCAACTGCTCAAGGAGAATGCTGGGCACCCACACAGTCAGAAGCCTGATTACATGGTTGGATAAGGGTCTCTGTTCATTTACTCGCCTATGTTTTAAAAAATTATCACACTTAAGAATTGAATTATTGAAACTCAGATTTACACTCAGATAAAAAAGAACAGTCTAAGCTAAAATGACACAGGAAAACACCAAGAGCAGGGGTGATGTCACAGTTTCAAAATCTCTGCCCATTAAACTTGAACTAATAAAATCCACAATCTTTCTAAAGATCTTTCCACATTCCACATTTCCACRTCACTTCATACACATTGTTCTGACTACCAGGTGTTTTCAGAATCTCAAAAGAATCTGAAAATAAACCAATTTTTTTTTAGCCWAATAGAGCATTCTTAGTTCTCGCATTGTACAAATTGGCAGGTTTTACACCCTCAAAGAAAGTTACACATCTTCTTTAGAACATGCACTGAGAGCTATACCTTTTTGTATTATTATGATTAGCATACCGTAGATTATCTTACTGTGTAATTTCTGCCTAGATTAGGCAGAACACTAGCACATTAWTCTGTCCTTCATGAAACAGTACAGTTCAATCAGCTCAGCTCTGACTAGAATACAGAGCAAACAGTTTGTACAGACAGAAAATAAATCTTTTTTTTTTCCCCTTCTGTTTTGTCTTGGAGAGCAACCCATCCCTTCATCTGAATGGCAGCAAGATACCAACTTATTCTCCAAGATTACACTACAAAAACMATTGTTAGGCAGTTACCTGCTGTTCCATTTCACTTGATGCGTCAGTTGTAGAAGGACCCATTATTTCCTTGCTCATGAGCTACAAAAAGAAAAAGCCACAATAARAGAGTAATTCAGAGGTTAAATGTTCTGTAAATTCACTGTCCTTTGAATTTCAACTGTATGTCTTTGTACTCTTGCAAAATAATCAAAGCAGATTAATTAAAAACAAAACAAAAACCCTCATGGTTGGTTGGCAAAAGACTTAAATTCAGAATAAGAGGACAGATTTCCCAAATTAGATTTCTTTTCCCARATTAGGTAAGTGTGAGCAGGAAGCTCTTACAGGATGAATCTTAAGCATTACCACATCATAAGCCATATTTTTGAACTCAGAAGACTAAAATCAAAACTGCATCTCTTGTTTTTGACCCTCACAGACCATTCAGAGAAGCACTTACACTTCCTTAATTTTTTTTATTAAGGAACAAAGATCAGTAAGTTAATATTCAGGCTTTTCAGATGAACGCATTAGACTATTTAAGTTACTACTTACCTCCTGAATAGCAGTCATGACAACATGTTGWACTGACTCTTCTAGGGTCATGATATTCTGTATGTGTTCTATAAAAAATAAGAATATGTAGTGACCCATGGCAACATTCATCTTAAATAATTTGAAACATCATGCAAATTTTGTAGACAGATGCAAAGATACTATCCTCTGAATTTTTACATGCAATGATCTAAAATATTCATGAATAATGAAATGTACCATAACAGAATTTTGCACAACATACTTGCAGAAAAGCACTGCCCAAAGAGAAATGAATGCAGCTAACACATCTTTAAAATCGGTTTTATGTATCATGAAAATTTTTTTTTTCCAAGTCATGCCAGACGAGCTAAAATAAATCCTCAGAAATCAGGTGTTCTGTATGCATTTTAATCTACAGTTAGGGCTCTATATGGGAACAGTTCTTGCCAGAGCAGCAAAGTTCTAGGAGACGGTATCTGTACATTTGACCCAACAAGCTTCTATTATGTACAACATCCATTTAGAAAAGATTGAATGATTTACTTCCCTATAAAGATAGGAATGTCTATATAGTATGAAAGTCAATAATATCAGTTTTTAATCTAAAATGCTTGATTGGTATTTAAATAGTAAGTTTTAGGTTTTGATATATATTTTAACAGTTGGGTATAGGAAAAAAAACCCACAAACACTGCAGACTGTATTTTATTCTGCTCTAAAAAGAGTTTTATGCAGACAAACTTCCTGTAGGTGTATTGCTTTCAAGTGAACACCAGGTTCAGAATAGGCATTCTCATACAGTAAGTTAACAGTAGAGGTTTCAATAAATAAGAGAAAAGTTTCTTTTACACCWTATTAATCAATACTTCAAGACAGTTTGCTGTTTTTTTAATAGATAAAATTAGGATTTACCTTGCTTCCTTTCACAGTTGACTGCACAACCTAAAATAAGCTGCAGAAGCCTGCCCAGTTCAGTGGGATCTGAGTTCTCAGATATCTGGTTTAAGTCAGGAATAAGTTCTTCTGATATCTGCTGACCTAAAAACTGAGAAAGAAAATGAAGAGCAAGTTAAGACGAACTCTCAATTTCACACAACATTATGACTTATTGCCACATAAGAAATCTGGACTCAGTAAGCCACTCATAGCAAAAATACAGGCTACTAATCAAGTTTGTTAGTGTAACGCCCATGAAAGCCAAAGAAGTTAATATTAGCTGTGGAGCTGTACACTAGAAATATGGCTGATGAGAGAGCTCAGATAGTATTACCATGTAAGAAATCTGAAGACATCTACATGAAACAGATGTTCTTTCCTTATTTATTAAGAGTTTGGCAAGTAAACTCATGGACTATATTAGTTTAGGCCAGGAAAAGCAGTTCCAATGTGTATGTGACTGGAAAAAAAAGGGTGTCCAACCAAGTGCAAGTCAATCGCTTTTACTGAATTCAGCACCTCAATTTCGCCTCTTGTAGGCCTAAAAACCTAAAGCAGACAGCTTTAAAAACATAGTAATATCTACTCAAAAKACTTGGTGCTTATTTAATGTGAAAGAGTTATGCATTTTATTAAGAGATGATTTTTTGAGTTAATTTCTTTTCAAAAAGGACACTGATTTTGAAAGTTTAATAGCTTGCATGTTTTCTAAATGATCTGTTCTACAAGAAAATAAAGCACTATAAGCTAAATGTTCCTGGGTTTCCCCTTAAATGAGAGGGTTGATTTGTTCTATCAACAGAACCAAAAAAAAAGGATAAAACAAGGAATATGCACAGCAAAATAATAAAAAAATTAGAAGTGTATCAAAAGTCAGTTGCTCCTTAGTCCTCCAAAACAACAAACAAGAAACCTTTTCATAAGCCCAAAGAAGTTCTATTTATGGGCTTGCCCTGGAAGAGCCTAGCACTGAATCTCACAACTAAGCCTAGGCATGAGCAAGAAAACAGTAGGATGAGCTGGCAAATTTTTCCAGACTGTTCTCATTACATGACATTAGCCAAGGCTCATACAAAATTCATCCATGGAGTTTTTCTGTCCATTTGTTACCACAATCATCCTGCACATGAGAGAACCGGCAAAAATACTTATTCTGCCCACATGGATTCATAACTGTAGCTCACACAGTRCAGGAGAATATCATAAAAACTAAGCTAGAGGTTGCTGAATAGAAAAGGATTCCTGTTCTACTGTGTAGAAAAGGATTTAAAATTCACTAGGCAAGACCAGGCATGAATGCACACAAAAGTCAGCACAATTCTGCAGTTTGGCACTTCTGACACTCACCTGGGCAGTGACAGAGACATGATTTCCAGCTTATGTTGTGAAAAATCTTTTCTAAGTAAACAAGCTCACTTATGCACACACACAAAAGATTTTTGAATTAATATAAAATTATATGAAACATTCAAATGACCCATTAAACAAGATAACTACAACATACTTTCTACAAAACAGCCRTCGACATGTTACTTTGCTAGAGAAAAAAAAAGGGAAAGAGAATGTTTACTGAACAGAACAACAACAAAAAACGCTGCTTTTTCCATACCTCATGATAGTAGTCCGTAATYCCTTGAAGTATCTTCTTCAGGTTACTGGACTAGTTGTATATGAAARGAAAAGTTACAAGCTTTCACTACTTTAATTTCTCTGAAATTAAGTATTAATTTATAATCAAATATTTAATAATTTATAATCAAACTTTTACACATTAAATATTTAAATACGTAATGTTAGGAAAAGAGAAATACTGCAGGAGAATGCAAAACACAAGCAGACCCTTAAACTAAAGTTCACTTACATTAAAATTAATCTTAACAATTAATCCAAGTTTAATGATGAACTGCAGTTTTTGTACTGTTAGATATGCTCAGGACTGACACCATACCCAGCCTCAAAAAAATTTTTACTAACTTCAGTTTTGAGTACCTTTATTCTCCAGTTGTCACCAACATCATCTTTAATGCGACTTAGCCAAGATGCATCAAACCAGGCAACATCTCTAAAATGAAATTAAACAAGAAAACATTAACGAACACATATATTCAAGTAAGATACCAGACCCTCAGCAGTGGATTATCGGATGTTTTACTATAGTCTCTAGCAAAAATGTAACTGGTTCACAGCAAATTTCTATCCTGCTTAACATTTTCTATGACATACACCACCACAAAAGACGGTATGTTTTAGGACAGCAAGCATTTCAAAATTAAGTTAGCTAGGAAACCTAGGGATATCCTTGTCATGTTGAGTTTTTAAATACATGAAAAAATGGTAATAGTGAGATAAACTTTAAAAAAATTAAATACATTAATACCTACTTTAGCCTTTTTAGGTACGTAAATACTACAATTAGTCAAAGCTACTTATCAAGAAAAACAAATTATTTTTACTACTGACATTTCTTAATTTCTGAATCTGTTTAGTTCTGCAGGCAGTTGTATATTTACTTCAGAGACATTAATAAGGATGAATCATTGAGAAAGTGGTTTACACAACTGAGCTGCCAAGGGGCACAACTGCAGTATATCTAACAGTATCTTTGACAATGCTTTTATTTACTGTCTTCAAAGCACCTAATAAAAGATGATTTTCCCCACTTACATATCAGCAAACCTGGGTATAAAGCAATTATCCAAGTCCAGGGTTCTAGCCATAATACTGGACTAGTACTAACAAACCTTCACCTGTGTGAGTGGTCACTACTACTACTTCTAGCAGCCTGATGTAGTAGTTGCACTGATCTGCTCCTTTAGAAGCAGTAGCATCCTGCAGGGACTTAATAAATTAAGTCCTGCTGAGACACTGGCTAAGGGAATTTGTCAACCCACGAAGTCTACTGACACTGGGGAGTGACCCTCAGAGAACCCTGACTAAGCAAGTCTGAATCAAGTTTTGCCAGGTGCTAGTCAAAGAGCAAACTCTGTCTCTACAGACACATTTTCAGGCACATTTTCAACGTCTCAAGTGTTTTTATTGTTGTTTCATTTTTTGAAGTAAATTGTTAGTAATTAAAGATACAGATTGATCAGGAGACAGCAAGATGGAAAGATGATTCAAACCTTCCTATGATTATCTTAATATATCTGAGCCAAAAGCAGCAATAAAGTTCCAGTGATAACCTGTGCCAAGTTTGCCAAAAGAATATGACACAATTTTTGAATTTTTAATTCCTCAGGCCAAAGTGGAGGAACGTATCACAGGAAAAAATCCATGGAAACAGTTTTAGAAGAAATCATGTTAAACGCGATCATACAATTTGGCCCACTTATCCTTAATTATGGTTCCAGGAATATTGCTACTTCCAACTCAATACTGTASTATCCCCCCTTGATGAGCTGACAAAACAGAAACCAAAGCACAAAAAATAGTAACTATCCTATTTAATCCTTTGCTTCAGCATAAGAAACAACAAAAATCAATATATATTAGCAAACAAAACTACTTCCTATTTCAATCTACCATTGTCAGTTATTGCCAGTTACTTCTGATATCAAAAGGAGATTAAAAAAAAARAGAAGCTGCAGCCCTGGACAGGAAAATCACAATGCAACGTATGGAATATCTCCTCTCACCACCTCCACTCTTTCATGTTATTAGGCAACTATGACAACAATGTAAAGGCATTTATCTTCTACTATAAACTGCCTACAATAAATTTACGAATACAAAAAAGTCAGAAATAATCATTCCCCCATCCCACCCCTCAATGAYGAGGAAAGAGACTACACACACTAAATATAAGAACTTTTAGACTTTAAATATCTTCTCTTTGAAATTAAACTTCAACTTACATTTGATGAAGTACCTGTGCCATGGCAACACCATTAGTCAAGTCCTGGACGTCTCTGCAAGGTGCAGCAGTATTGAATGTCTGCAACTAAAAGGGGGGAAAAAGTATGATTTCTTGATTGACAGAGGAAGGAAATTAGTTATCCTTTTCCTCTTTAAAGCACAAGCCCTTTATCAAGGGCTTTCTCCTTTAAGCAGTCCAAAATACTAAAATCCATTCTGAGCTGTGCAGTTTGAAAATCAACCCAATTATCTCAATGAGCGTGACTGTCAATTATGAATAATAGTTTTAAGAGTTAGAATTACCAAGCTCTGCTTTTTCATGCTGGTTCTTTTATTGTAAATTATGGAATACTACCTTCTGAATCTAAAGTCATGTTTATCCATCCTTTAAATTAGGTGTCCAGAGACATATTATCAAAATAAAAATTGTTATCAGAAGAGAGAATGGATTTGCTTTTCCTCAGCCTTCAGTCTTTTACTACCTGCTCTTAATAATGTAGGACACAACACCAATAGAGACCCTTGGGATTATCTGAAGACAAAGAAGGGAGAGTTCTTTGTTTTTGGGTAGTTCTATCTCTCTAGCTGAGAGTTTTTGGGTAGTTCTATCTGAAAGTTAAAGCACTCTATATATATCAGGACAGCTGAGAAAGACTGAACAATTTTAAATCTTGTAAACTGATAGCACATTTACTTAAAATACAGGAATTCCAAAGTTACACTAAATATGTTCCTTTCAAAATATACAACTTCAAAATACTGTTACATATCCAAGAAATTTTTACTATATCCTGAATCACATATCTTTTCCTGGTAAACAGTAGTTATCAAACTACTACAAACTACTAGTTATCAAACACATACAATTCCTTATGTTTAAAGATAAGTCTACACACAATTTTACCTATCTACATATTCTGTAAAAAAATTACAGAATCTAACAACTTAAAACTTAATTAAAATTGMTTCTTCTATTAAGAAATAYAYGCGTTGAGTAGAATGCAACCAAACTTACAGTCTTTAAATCTCTGCCCACTGAGAAATTTCATTTTGTTCTACACTTACTATGTTTATCATGCCCTAAATCATCTGYCCATCTGTGAGAGGACTTTCCCAATCTTTTGGGACAGCTTAGCTCCTTCAAAGGTCACTGATGAATGACCATGCCTAATGCTTTGGAGAAATTTAACTACTAGGAAAGTAGTTTCCACTTTCGAGAACTTGAGGCAGTCATTGCACAGCCTATTGTTTATGAAGGCCACTCACGTTTCCAGCAAGTTTGTTTCCTTGCTTTAAAAACAAATTTTAATCAAACCAAAAAGAGAAAAATATGCAGACTGAGTCTTTTTTAAATTTATTTTTAAGTAATTTTTAATCCTGTATTAGAGCAAGCACAGACTAGTAATCTCTCGTAGGTTACATAAAAGATTAAGCAAGCAAATGCAACCTGAAGTAGTTGTGATTGACAGCCTTGGTTTCTAATACTACAGCAGCCTTAATGACAACTCAAGATTGTGAGCTCAGAAGCTTATGAGTCAGGACTGAGCATGCCAGAATTCAGTTTTCGGGCAGAAGGCTGTGGTACTGCCATTTGGATACAGCTGAGGTAGTAAGGTAACAGGTTCTACCCTTCTGTGTCTATAATCAAGCCTGCCCAAGCCTACTGGAGCAAGTAAACACAGTCTTAAAAAAACTTGTGTCATGCAACACTTTTATACATGTCACTATCTCAGAGAAAAAAAAGAGCTAATTAAGACTAAGCAAAAAGCAAGACTGTCACCCCAAAGAGCACATTCTCTCGGCTTGCTCTTCCCCACTGCAAATCTCTCAGAACTACCAGAATTTCTCACTGCTCTCCAACCATTTGCCTGAATCTGCATCTACTTGCAAAGGTGAACTGCATCTATAGCATCTTCTGTGCTTCTGAGTGTTTTGCTACACCTTTGCAGTTGGGAGTCTTTTTTTCCCTTGATATATTTAAAATTTACCTATGTGCCTAGAAACACTGAGTAGAAGTTTTAGCTGTGTAGATTCCAAATGCCACATCAGTCAAATAAGGTCCTCAAAATAGATTTTTTTTCCTGTATTCATAAAAAATCAGACAGCCAGAAGGAGGTTGTTAGAGGCAACCAGGGACTCTGATACTGCAGCAACACTAGTCTTTCAGATTCAATTAGTTTTCCTGAGCACAGTCTCAAAGACATGCTCAAGACATGCTGTTACTCATGCCGAGCACCATTTCAGGTGTCGGCCATAAACCTAACTTAAACACACCCTGCTACTTGCTCTTGAAAGCAGCAGATTTTTTTTCTCCCAGACCTACAACTATTTTGATGATAATCTAAATTCAAAATCTGATTTTACATCAAGTAGCACAATGCCTTTTCCCTGGATCTACCGATGGCTTTACCAAACAGCTGTAGATTAAACAAGATTACGTTCACAATATGCAGTACAACCCTAAAAAGCCATCCAGTACTTGAGAAAATAGGCCCTCAATTCCATCTGCAGGATCCTGGGCTAAAATACTCCAGCTGACACCCAGATTACGATGTCTGAGATAGAGGGTTAACAGTTAGTCAAACAGATTTTGAAGTAATAAACATTCCTAATTCTTAATCCCAAAATTTTTATAACAACTCAGCCACAAGAAAAGATAGCATTGAAAATGACAGACATATGAGTACATCTATTGTAGAAAAAGCTTTCTGTTGAAGATATGAATATATCGAGCCACTCMACTATCCTTGAGGTGGCATTTATTTACATAAAAATATGAATTGACAGATAAAAAAATCTTTAGAAGTTAAAATTTTTATTAAAATACCTTTGATAAACATAACAAGTCTGTGAGATTATTTAGCAGAGCTGGAAAGGATGAACTAGCCCTGCCAGATTTAAGCATTCTTCCTTTACAAAATGGTTTAAAATACAATTTTCTTATGTAGCTTTTAATTCATGTATATGAAACTTCGGAATGTGCTCACTCAAATCAGCTATCTAGAACACACTCTTAGTATGAAGGTCACAACTGAACAGAAACAAAACATGCTTGTAAACAAACAAGTAAATTTTAATAGATGTRATCCAAAAAAAAAATGCCTGCTCCAATGAACTTTGGAGAGACAGAAGATAAGCAGGAAACTTCTGTTCTGCTAGAGTAAAAGAAAGCCTATTCTATTATTAAAAATACCACCWAGGTACTATTTTAATGGCACCTAAGCATAGCATCACCAGGCCTACTGACTGCCGCTTTTATCGTTCTACTCTTACACCATAAGCTAAGTTTGTCCCTCTGCGGGACTTGTTAGAAAATTCAGCTCTAAAGTTTGTTGCAGAAACAATGGTAACAAGTATTCCTGGAAGTCACTTTTCCTTAAAAAATCAAACACATTCCATGTATAATGTAATGCAATTCCACTACAGAATTTTTTTTTTTTAATTGTTTGTTTGAGGTATTTTTGGCATTATCCTTAATACTTTAAGACCAATGACCTCTAGGTTGCAGGAACACTAAATGTTTTTATTCATACTTTCTATTAAATGGAAAGCATGTTTACTAGTATAAGAAATGCTAAAATAAAAATGCAAGATCTGCCAGAACATCAAATATTGTGAACAGAGCAAACATGCTTTTCCTATGGGACATGGACAAAAAAGATGARAAATTTATTATTGCTATTAGGAGCTTCCCCCCTCCTTATTCAGTCTCCTAGGAAGTTCAAGTAGAAAGAACCTCTGAAACATCTTAGCTAATGCTCAGCTTCTACTAAATTTTAACTTGGGTCAGAGAAATAAGGTGTTAAGTCTGAAAAGCTGCATATAACATACATAGCTAGAYATTCATTTACGCTAATGACCCTGTATGATGCTCTTTTAGTTTAAGGCTGTTTGAAGTCCCTCCTAGCATCACTTTAAGATATGTTATGCAATCAGATCCGTGTAAGTGACTAAACTAAAAAAGTATTAGGCTTAAGATATTTAAATAGGAATTGTAAAGATATTTCAACATTACTGAAAGGAGTTTGAGAAAGACATCAGGAACGTATTTACTCAAGCTGTTTCATTAATTTATTTCGCAAGAGAGCCATGACAGCACTATTCTGATCTACAAACAGAAGATACRGAGCTGAAGAGCGCAGAGAAAGGGAAGAGAAGGCATCGATTACAAGATAAAGAACATCCAATCCAGGAGAGGTAAAAGAGATATCTGAAATTCTAAAGACAAACTAAAAATTAGCATGCAAGGTAGCTGGACATGAAGAGATAAGGAGGAAAAGAAAGGAAGCTGTTTCTTCAGTGTGTAATACAAAACTAAGTTATATTAAACCTTTCGTACTGTAATGCAGAAAACAGAAGGAACACCTTTCTTGTAGCTACTGCTAATTTACTTTTGCCATTATGTTTTTTCCTTGCCTGTCTGGTTTTATTGCCAGATCTTGAYAATGCTTTTAAAATAATCCATTCTTTCCTTTTTTCACACTTAGCAAACCCAAAGTAGCTAAAGGGACATTCCATGCAAAGCAGCCCTGGCCTTACCTGCAAAGAGTTCACTGCAAACCTGTACAAGACACACTGTTATTTAGTACAACGTGCCTGCACGCCTGCCAAGCTTGCATCCCTACAAGACCAGAACTACAGCCAAGTAGGGAAAGCTCAGGAAGAGGAAGAAAGGATGAATTAAGAACCCAACAACCGCCTGCGTGGGGCCTCTGTGCCTGTCTGTAGCAAACGCTCCTGCTAACCGCAGGGTGACAGCAGGTGAAGTTCAGCTTCTGCTCCAGGCTCCTGCTTCTGCCAAACGAATTCAAATTAACTGTGCTATTATTAATTAGTGTGAGGTTACTYCATGGAAAGGTTGGCCAGAGAACCACTGACCAGAGCAACAGGGTACTGCAAAGGTTGTAAACACAGCTCAAGGTTTGCAGGAGACTGGGAGGGAGGAGGAGGAGGAGTATAAACGAAATACAGGTATTAGGGAAGCAGCATTATTACAGAGGCGCTCTTACTTCCCCCAAACTCATCATTTTCTGCCCATTTTCTGCATCCCCCCCCACGGCAGCAGCCATAACCAGCCGCATTGCCGGGGGGGAGCGAGGACACGAGTCCAAACCTCCCCCCCCCGCAACCGTGACACGTAAGTCCCGGGGGGGGGGGGGGGAGCCGCCCCCGTCGCCACGGCAACGGCGCGGGCCCAACAGGTGCCCAACGGCCGCCCGCGGCGGGGGGCGGGGAGGGAGAGGCCGCTCCGCGACAGGCGCGGGACCCGGCGGGGAGGGGAGCAGCGCGCGGGCAGCGGGGACCCCCCCCCGCCGGGGTGCTCACCCAGAGGATGAGGCTGTCACAGAGCAGGAGGTCCGTAGGYTTCGCCTCCATGGCGGCGGCGAGCACGTCCCGCGGCAGCCTCGGTTCGGTTCGGCTCCGTTCGGTTCGGCCCGGCGCCGCGGCTGCGTCAGCGCCCGCTGCGCTCCCGCCCACAGCGACGCACGGAGACCGGCGAGCCGCCCCCGCGCCCACCGGGCCGGGCGGGCGGGGGCGGTGCCGCCACGAGTGGCGGCCGGCTGCGCCAATCGGCCGCAGGGGCGGGAGCCACTTGGACCAATGGCCGCCGGGGGCGCGCTCGCCGGGACGGGCGGCTCCCCCTGGCGGCGGCTCGCGCCCTGCTGAGGGCCGCGGGGCCGGTCGGCTCGTCCGTGCCCTGCACGTCCCGCGGCCCCGCTCCGCCCCGCGGCCGCTGCTCCCCGCACACGACATGGCGGCGAGCGCGGAGCGCAGSGTGCCGCCTCACACCGACCTCTCGTTACGGCTCGGGTAGCTCAGCGTAGCGGTGCCGGCGGCCGCACCACGGAGTGCRGCGTTTGGGCAGAAACACCCTCGGTGAACGAGGCAAAAATAGTTTCTGCAGCTCTAAGGGAGGCCAAGGACAGCAAKCAGCGAAGCAGCAGCGCCATGCGCAGCTGTGTGGACCTTGTGACAGATACAGGGCAAGACACCATCCTCTCCAGCAGGGCAGAACCTCGGGGCTCATCCTCTATTTTGACATTTTTCCTCAATTTCCTCAAAACCCCTCATAGCGGGGTGTCTCAGGTATAGAGCGGGACACAAAGCGCAGTTGAGCTGCTGCCCTTGAACCAGACACTTTATCCAGGCGGCTGTAAACAGACACGCAGCCACGTTGCCACGCATGAACAGGGCATCACGCGCCCCAGATAGACACGTACACCTCTTCACACACCGTGTCTTCCTTGTCCTGCTAGAGGAATAAAACATAGGAGCGCTTTTGTTTGATCTTTTCTTTCAGGAAATTATTAAATAGAAGCCATATCTTGCTTTCCTTCACGATTTGTTTCRTAGGAAGAATTGCTTCACTTGGGTCTTGCAGCAGATCTTCAGAATCCTGCATTGTAATAAACCATCAGAAGCTTCAGTGGCTTGGAAATCTACCCCCCCATTTAGTACCATAGGCACCTTACAGTAAGGTGTGGTTACTGCTTCAGCACAGGAATCTTAATGAATATCTTAACTGCATCATTATGCATCTTAACCTTAACCTTAACCTTAACTTAATCTTTTTGTTATCCAATTCTTATGTTTTTGTGAAGAATCTTATGTTGTCTGTCCTCAGTGGAACAGCCAGGACTGCATTTTGGTAAAATATCCTAGTTTGAGCAACAGGAGTAACTCTCCTTGACTCACCATTTCTTTCATTCTCCATCCTTCTCAGGGGTATCAGGGGTATCATGTCTTAGCATCTGCCATTTCCTACTCACCTTTACTCATAAGCTTCCTTCTACCCATTTCCTGGAAGCACATAATTCTTGGTTTCTGCATCTTGTTTTCACATGCTCTTTACTGTTGCAGCTCTTCACACACTTGCTTTTTCTTTTTTAATTTTCTCAGATCTGATGTCTCTGCAGGCAGCTCCTCTGTCCTGCATTTATGCTCCGTATGCCAGGGAACGGTGAAGGCCAGATGTTCCCAATGGGACAGGGAGTCAGCAGAAGATCTCACCAGCCAGRGCCTCATCCCCAGTAACCAAACGAGGGGGCAGGCTTGGCTTGCCTGGAGATGGCAGCCAAGTTCCACCAGGAGGCCACACCACCAGGCAAGTTCATGGTGACAAGGCAGGTCCAAAGTCAAGCCTAGAAGTGTGTCCATGGGTGAGGAGCAGGTGTGCTGAAGGATACTAGAGTCAGACACAGCCGCTGATCTCCAGTTGGGCCCACAATTACAAGGCACATCTAGGGTCAAGCTTGGAAATCAGGCCACAGGTCAGGATCCAGATCTCCACAGGTCAGGATCCACCCTCCTGCAACAAGCTCTAGCAGGGAATGAAGGCCCAGGGTGGAGCTTAAATGTAGCACCTGGGCTCTTGGATAGGAGGTGGTGGAGGCCCCAGGTGTGGCCATGAAGACCTATTAGTACATCAAGGGCCCTGACAGCATATTCTGTTTCACTGGGGTCATCTCTTTATAGAGATGCAAAAAACACTGTAGAGAAGCACTTTTCCCACAGAGGGTTTTCAGGACACACAGAAGGGAAGAGCTGAGGATAATCAGAACCAGCCAAGATCTAATATTATTGACTAAGAGTTGCTACTTTTTCAAAACAATCCAGATATGTCCATTTATAAGGCATGGCTATGGTAAGCAGATGGTATGGATGATAGATTGGATGAGATTTGTGGGGAAGGGCCTCATCTGAAAGGAAGGTACAGATTTGGTGCCAACAAAGACAAACCAGTATTAGCACTAAGGAGGGTCTTTCTAAGGAACACTTATGACACCTGAATTTCAGAGAATTGCATTGCAAATATATATAGCTATTGATGTAACTATTCTATATCTTTCAAGCTGCAGCTACACATGRACACATCAGGAACACCACAGCCCTGGCAAACTGAGCTCCGGTATGGGCCAAAGCAGGTAGTGGCAAAGAGAACCTATGTATGTTGTATAGGTACATAGGAGTTCATCTATACATATAGGTATATAGGAGTTCATTTTATTTTTTAAACCCAGTTGGAAATCTGTGCATGAGCTACAGCTCACATGAGCGGCTGTCAGCACATTCCATTTTCGTGTCAATCACGGTAAGGACTATGACCTACATTATCATTGCAGAAACAGGAAAGAATAGCTCAGCACCTCAGACCAGGGCTGTGGTCCAATCTCGTGATGTCTAATGTCTACTGTTGTTACATTTTAAGTCATTCTAAATTACTCCTAATAGTAGGAACTATGTTCACTCATTTTGGTAATTTGTCCTTTGCCTTCTTGACAAAGTATCTGACAGTATTCTGTCAGTGARGAATGTCTACTTTTCCTAACAACAAAAACAAAACGTGTTTGGGAATTGTATCTATACATCATTTAATTTTCAGTGGGACCTACATTATTGTATTTAATATTATGAACAATATTTGGTTCAGGCATTACTTCTAGGCGCCTTGCTAAAGCAAGCCACATACTCATGCACTGAGGCGCCCCTAACCCGCAGGGTAAGTCTCCTGTAGCTCAGAAATAGTCTTGTTGGAAATGAGGACGTTTTTACACCATTATGAGCACAGAAATAAGAGTGTAAAAATACCAAACAGTGACACTTGGTGGTCAGTTATGTAATTTGCACATTTCTCCCTGCTAGAATGCATAAAATGAAAAATGATCCTCAGTTTTTCTGTCATATTTAGTGGCTTGATTGATATGAATTATGAAAGTCTGCGCTTTCCTAGCACCTTTCAAAAGCTTTAGCATCATCAGCTAAGCCTCATGATGTTCTGTGGGGCTCTATATTTACATATATTTACATTTTTCAGCCTGAAATTAATCAATTACTGAAATTCATGTAGTAAGTTATTAAAGACACATCCTTTCACAATCTCTTCCATTCTCCTGTCTCCAACTTCCTTTTGAATCAAGTTCTACCTATATTGGAAGTTTTTATATTTTACTGAAAAGGTTTTGGCCTATTTAGAAGTTCTCACAGGCAAATAAATGTTACTCTGCATAACAGAACTTGTGAAAAAAAAAAAAAAAAAACCACAGTATGTACTCACATTATTTAACTGACTGAAAAGTATTATCAGTCTTTTACTTGTTCCGCCCAGGTAAATATTTTGTGATTGCACAAGAGCCATAACAAGGTTCCAAAAACTACAGGTCACTGACACTCAGCACCGACAATAAAACCAGTCTTGTGATTAGTGCTGTGCCCTCTAGGCCCAACAGATAGCTGAAAAATTAACAAAGAGCAGGGAATGGTACAGACGTACAGAGAAAACCCTACCATGATCTGCAAAGTAGCTATTGATTTGGGCTTCATTGCTTCTGAGAGAAACAGCTTGAGGAGACTAAAAAAAGATGTAAAAGGACAGTTGTGGTGTGTGAAATAGCACTGAAGTAGCTGATCATTTCACAAACCTACAGGTCTACAGCTTCATTTTTGGCGAAGGGAAGTACTATTTGGTGTTTTACACAGGGAAAAATAGGAAGAGAAAGGTCTCCCTGTATTGCAGTTAGTCTAATAGGCTTGAGGAAGATCCCACTGTATTTTCTGCGAAGATGCTCTACGAGACTTGCCACGTCAGCTAGGGGAGGACGTGGGTCAAGCTGTGTTGTCTACACCTCCCTGCGGAATGAGTAACACACAGCCTGAAACCAGCCCAAGGTTAGTCCATGCTCCCCTAGCTGTGCGTATCTGCATAGATCCAAAGATCGAATAAACATATGTGTCAAGTTCTTGAATGTAAGGAGTTTGCTAGCAGAAAAAGGGCTACAATTGCCATGTTCTTTTACTCCTATGATTTTCCAAAACCACACTGGAAAACATGCAAAACATAGAAAGAACCAGTTTCTCAGAAAAAATAACGATTGCTTTTTAATTAACAGTGACATTAACTTTTTGTAAAATATAAAACTATATTTTGCTTTAAAAATACCAATGTTTTCCCAACAAAACTCTTTTATAGGTTCGTTCCTTACAATACCATTTGACTGTGGTTTGTATGATGTGAATGATGGGGAAGTCATGCAAGGCTCGAGCTCTCTCAAACAAAACAGGCCTCTATGACAAAACGGGCCTCTGATGACATGATGAAARGCACAAAACATTTACTTAGGAGTTGGACCTGCAGATTTGGAAATGTGGGCCATGCACTTAGATAGAAATACTTTCATCCCTTGAGGCCTTTCCTGGAAGTCATTCAACTATTACAACTTTTATTTTTAATAGATTAATATTTAAGCTAGTGGGATTGCTGGAATACTTGAGACATTTATGCTCTTCGTTATACTTTTCTTAGGACATCTTAGCTCTAAAAATTCTCTTTGACCCCCATAGACTTCTGGTTGTAAGAAATAGTAAGTCCTATCATTAGAACTATGAGGGCATTTCTAGTCTGTTTTCGGAATGAATTCAGTTTTGTCTGCAGACATTTCTGGGGCCCTTGGATTGCAGAATATCAGTTACGGTTATTACAGTACATATTATTACAGTACATATTATATAGTGAGTGTGCTTATAGAATATAAATGCATTTCCACCTTTTCTATAGACTAACAAAAGAAAAAGGGAAAATATCTTTACAAATGTTAATTAATGTTTATCATATGTCATGAAAGCGGGTATTGCTAAACTGAAACAKATGTTACATTCATAACAATATTGCCAACATGACCTATGTGGATCATTTTTTATTACAATGAATATTAAAGTGAGAAGTAGRAATACTTGGCTAATCTCAGGCCAAAGACAAAGCAGACCCAGAAATGGGTCTAATTTTAGGAGTGCCTCTGGCCAGTCCACTATCTCTAAAATCTCCTGAAGAATTTCAGGGCCAAAAAAGGAAAAAAAAAAAAAAAGAAAAAAAAAGGGAGACAAGACAGATCTGCATTAGAATTATCTTATATGGTCACTCCTTGAATAACTGGAAAAGATGATTGCAGAGAATGATGGATTGTCTCTGCTTTAGTATATTATAATTCCCTGTCCAGGGAGGCAGGGGGAAAAAAAAAAAAAAAAGATGGAATAATGGCACAGAGCCAGAAGTCCTGTTAGACCATTAAATTTCTTAAAAAGCTATAGAGGAAAGAAAATAAGTCAAAGGTGGACAACTAAGTAGACACACACACACACACGCACACACACACACAAATATATATATATAAAAGTACCCAAACCAGATCTTTGCAATTGCACTTTTTGACTCCTGGAAAATAATTGTTTTAGGAATAATCTACCTGGACTACCCCAGTAAAGCATCTCAGATCAAGGACACTTAGGAATAGTGACCTTAGCAGGATAAAATATTACATGTCCACTCTATCTTTGCTTTCCAGCATGACCTCGCTTTTTCACTGTAACCTTCCTTCCTAGTCTGCCCTCTCTGCCTCAGCTGTTTCCCTAACATTTGTCAATCTCATATCTTTGCTTTTCTATTTCGGGCTTTTTGTTTACTATCTCRGAGATATCTGTATTTCTATTTTGATACTCAATCTATTTTTTTTTTCAGTGAGCAAGGTCACAAGTGAGAATGGTCTTGGCTGACATTACTTGACACCACAGAACTGTTTACACTGTCATGGGAGCAGTACTGGGCTTTTCCAGTACACGTGCATTACAGTTCTGATACCACTTCAGTTTGTTCCAGTGACAGGAAGATCAGTACTGGGATATGAAGTATGACAGAGACATATTTGTCACAAACAAATCCACRTCCTTGTTTCAAATCCTGTTTCCACAGGTATGTTGGAAAGGTAGTGTAATGCAGTGACTTCACGGGACTATAYAATGTTTGACACGTGCCTTTATGTCCCAAGAAGACCCTTTGTTGTGTAGGTCCTGATTCTGACAATATCTTTGCACATATGTAGTATCTTGTATTGGGTATTTCCAGTTTTCACTACAGTGCAGGTGTATGTTTTTWTAACATGAAGAAAATCACAAACTTGATTTTCAAAAAGAATTAGTCCCTTTAGATTGATTCTCTGCCAGGGACTGCTCTCCTGCATCTAGCTCTGCCTATGGAGAAGATGCTTTGAATTACAATGGTAAATGAGCAAAAAGAGGTTAAAAATGACATTAAAAAAAAAATTGAAACACAGTAGACTTGAGAGCAGAGTTTTAGTTCTACCTTGTCTGTTAAAGGCATGTGTCATTGCAAGAGGGAGAAAGCCCAATGTGTAAAGTACCCCACAAATAAAATGAACACATGAACCTGCAGGTTCATTTAATCTTTACATAAAGTCTATACTTCTTTTGCTGTTATTTTGCTATGGGAGTTTCATCTTTATGTTAAAAACAGTTCAAAAATTTTTTTTTTTATTTAGTATTAATCAAATGCTTGAGTGACCTAAGTAAAATGGGTTTAATGTGTTCAAACCATTTTCCACTAGCTAAATACTCCTGTCTAAGAATCGCAGTCATTACTAGGAATGACTGACAAGTTTGTTAGCAACTTTATCAGGTTGAGCAGAATAGGTGGAGGGAGGGAGGAGAGAATGAGTTATGCTCAGATTCTTTGGGAGTCTGCAAAGGGTTTCAGCAGAACACGGGGAAGCAGCCACACTAATGCTGTGTCACCTAGTCTGGCATCTTGGCAAGTAGTTAAATCACACTGCATGCATATTTGGATAAATAATAATGACATATATATATATGTGTGTGTGTGTGTGTGTGTGTGTGTGTAGCTCACTGGCATATCAGTATGCAAGAATATCCAGCACACAAGTCACACACAGTATTGAGTTTGTCGCCAATTTCTCAGTAACAAAGTGAAGAATGTTCCTTAGGGAGGGATGACAAACAAGGAACATTGTTTTCCTACATACTCCATCCAGTTGTTAGGCTTTGGAAAGTGCTTTTTTTAGCAGATTAGTGCTTCAGGAGGAACAGCCGGGGCATTATTTTTGTTCTGTTCCAATAGACAAAGAATAAATGTGAAGCATATATACCCATGAATTAATACTATATTGGCCCATTAGGTCTTGTGCTTAAATTATATAGTTCTCGTGATTAAGTGGACAATGTTAACCTCGTTCTGTGGTTAGGCAATGCCAAGGTATCACATGCGTCTGGCAGGTTTTGTGCCTGTTTCACAACACCCTTCAGTTAATCGCCTGTCTACACAATTGATAGGCTGTTACTATATCAGGCGATCAAAATCCTGCAGCCTGCCCTTGATCAAGTTAATATTTGAAAACAGCAATGTGATTTTTTATTAGCTTCAAAGATCTCTTCAATTACATTAAACATCTTTTTGAGGGATGACATTTATTTAGATTATTTGGAAAGAGAAGAAAGCGTTGGGTTTTGCCCCAGGAGTCATCTATTCCTTTACCGGACTTGCTGTGTTTGGGGAAAAGGTTTCTTTCGAAACCATAATTTAGAAAACCTAACAGACCCTTGACATTGGGCAACACAGTTAATAATTGACAAACACGTGTAGCCTGCCTTAATGAATGACTCYGCACCATAACACTGAGGGTTAGCCTAACTTCCTCAGCTCCTCTCACACTTTTCTGGAAAGAGCAATGGTAAGCCAGACTTTGTGTATGTCTCCTGAGCAAAGGTAGGAAGTATTCGTTAGAGTGACTGTGAATAAATAATTGATGTATTTACTCTTTTAATCATTAGAGTTACATTTGGAAAACTTGCATAAATCAATTCTTCCCGGCAAAATATGTACTTTTAGTTTACCTGTGATTAGATTTGGTATCTATTGTCAAACATTTAGTTGTCCAGTATGTCTTGGCTCCTCTTAGTTGCCCTGTAATTGAGATACAGAGCAATTGTCACAGGAATGTGATGGAGAGATAACGTGGTAGCATGCCTTCAGAACATTAAAACTCCAAAATGTTTTATTTCTAAATGGCAGGTGTTCATGGAAATAAATAAATAAGTGGTTGTTAGCTCTTTCATCTGCTAAGTATTACTTAAACTTTAATTCCTTCTCTTTAAACATGCTGCTGAGAATGGACTCTTCACTGAATGTTTTAAAAAAAACTTCTGCATGGTAAAAGTGGAAGCTGTAGTGAGCTGAGCGGCGTCTTGGAGACAAAGGTTTTACACCCAGGAGCTTCTGGCTCCATAAKCCCTGGGATCACTACTTCATGCCTTTCTTCTGCATGCAAGTATTAAAAATGCATCAAATCTAATGGCTTGGTTTTTCAGAGTCCCACTAGATGACCTTTCCAAAATGCTCAGCTTTCATTTTGAGCTGAAGTAAGTGTCCAGATTTTAAGAGATCTCAAGTTTCTTAAAAAAATCTGTCAAACTGTGAACTGATGGGTTTGAACAGCTTCAGAACCTGGCTCCTAGTTGGTGTTCTTTTGAAAATTTGACCCTAAAGCAGACAACTCCCGGGAAAGAAATATAAACATATAAATATAAATATAAACTGATAAAACTGATATAAATAGAAATATAAACTGATTCTAGAAAAATAAAAACATTTTTCTGTCAGGGTTACTATTTTTCTATCACTTTTTACCAGTCATCTAATTCAGGGACATGGCCTGGTGAAAGGTGACTGGACATATGAGTTGAATCTCTTGGACCATGCTGCTGCACCAATGTTTCTTACATGGATGAAGGCTACCCCTGCTGAAAACAGTTTAAGAGGTGACCATGCCTAGTCCTTAAAACTGATAGGCACTGAACACTATTTAGACAGCTTGGACTAAATAAATCAGAAATATGCACATAGTCCAATAAAATAAATGCAAAGTTTGTCATGTTTTCCTAAGTCTTCTTATGCAGGACAAGACTAAGTCACTGTTATCTTTGCAGAAGGTGACTCCAAATCTCCCCAAATAGCTTTACTCTTTTCAGAGTGACTGTATCAGGTCAAACTAGGACCATTTTGTCCTCTCTGCAGCAATGGATGCCTAAAAAATACAAAACAGGCAATTACACGATGCTTCCTCCAGAAGAATCTTCTGTCCTCTAGCTTTATGGTTCAGGAACTTCCGCAGACGGAGGTGCTACCTTTGCATTTAATGGTACTTAACGCCCTGCATACGTTGAATTCATAGCAATTTCTAGCATCCATTACAAACACATCCACTGCTTAAATATATTTGTAAAGAATTGCCCTTTCCTACTAAATCTGCCACCTCTTAGTTTGTGGATGCTGTTTGATTGTTGTACTAGTAGAGACAGCCAACAGCTGATCTTAGAGAGCCTTCTTGTTCTTCTCTATTATCTTTTAAAGATCTCCACCATTTCTGTCATTTCTTTTCCACCTGAAGAACCCTGTTTTACCCAGTGCCTCCTTGTACAGAAGCTGCCGGTTAGTTCATGTGGATGTCACAAATATTTAGTTAACATAAGCAGGATACTTGAAAAGAAAGAGTCTTATGCTTTTCCAGTGCTTTTCAGATTTTCCTAAAATTGCTCAACTTGTATAAATAATTTATCATGTGTAGCATTGACAGGAGTATGATACTTATCAATAAAAATAATTTGCACTAACTGATTAGCTATTAAGAAAATCTTAGAGCTGGCAGGGTTTCAAATGACCTACAGTACACAACCATGCAGGCTTCATTACTCTTAATGGAGATTAAACCTCCTAAGCCCTTAGACAACTTTGCAAATCATAATTTAAATGCAAAAGATGTATAAAATGTGTCTGTCCTCGCTGAACTACACGTTCATCCTCCTGGAGGGCAAACAGGAAGTTTGGTCTATTTAATCCCTTAGGAATGCCCTTCCTTCTCTTCCAAGTGCARTCATTTATGTGACAATAAAAATGTATCATCATGGCTAGAGTCTGATATCCTCTATAGCAGCATAAATCTCGAGCTGCATCACCACTTTATGTGGGCATAAATCTCGAGCAATTCAGAGGCTTTGGGGTCTGGCCATTGTTTGGCTGTAGCAGGGTTGCCACCAGCAGCAGCAGTTCTTCCAGTGACCGCTGTGTCCGTGATTTTACTCAGTCTGATGAATACCTACCAAAGGCCAAATATAAGCCTTCAGCTCTGCATATAAGATCATATTTTTTTTATTATTGTTATTATAAATGTATAATTGGGAATGAATCTATCCATCTATCCATGTCACCAGTACTCTCTTCTGTTTTTTCCAGTTGCTTTCAACTAACTTTATTATTATAAGCCTAGTGTTGAACCTAGATTTGTCTTTTTAAAAAATGCAGTTGTACTAAGGTACCTGATGAGAGGAAAGAGTATCTTGGACTGCCWGCACTTTGCAGAGTGACCCTGAGGGACACTGCAGGAAGCTCCAGACCGGTCTGTAGTGTTTTCCCACAGGAACATCCTGGGCTCTATAACAACTTTTGCTGGAACTTCYGCAGAAAACTGTGGTGCAACTTTCTGCAAGAAACCCAGGTGAACTCACCTGCACATGGATGAGCCTGGCCCTTTGTGCAGCTTCTGTGTGGCTCACCTGCCTTCTCAGGAGCACCCAGCCTAGTTCTTGCAAGTGTCTTTCCTGTTATCTCCCGCAAAAGCAGCTGAGATCTATAGGCATTTGAAACTGAAATCAGACTGAGGTTTACTGTGCAGATTAAATGTGGCCACTCGTAACAAGAAAACATCCATACTTGTCTGGCAATATTACAYTGTGAGAGCTGGAAATTCTCCCACCTTGCTTCATTCAATAAGTATCACAAGRAGATGAAGGATACTGCTTAATAGTAACAGATTTTCTTCATATTATGTATATATGCATACACACACACACATATATACATATGCATACACATATTCTTTATCTGGTGTCATTATTACAGGACTGTGGCCCTGTTCTTTGCCCTCTACATCAYAGACTTCTATCTTGAACTCAAATGCTTTTTAAGAGCAAAAATTGTYGATGTCTCAGCAGCAACTGGCAGTCAGCTGAGAGGCTTCCAGCCTCCCTGTGTGGCAGCTAACCTCAGTAGCCTGGGGTGATGCCGTGCAGCAACACAGCAAYATCCAAATTTCCACTTTTCTAAATAGCACAAACTCTATTTCTATAGGTTTGCTCATGTAAGTCAGCAAAAGATGAGTCACCCAGAAAGAAAGCTGTAATCATTTGTCCCTTAGGAATCATATAGTGAGTTAATTATTGTACATCACTTTCTAATACAAAATACACAAGCAGTTTTCACTTGTTGAGATTGCAGAGGGCAAGGGAGCTTTTCATAATTTCCAACTGTTATGGTCTGGGAATGCTGGGTTTCTCCTGAGTATCTATTACATAATTGGAAACACATTTGGTTCCATTTGTTGTATGAGACAAAGCTAAAGAAATGTGTGCTATTACTCTGGGAAAAGAAAAAAAAGATATATAATGATCTTATACAATATATGCAGGTTTTGCAGACACAGTGGTTGTCTTTTCCAAACTGCTACCGTTTACATCAGTTGAAATTATGCCTTTTGGGCTCTGCAGAGACCTCATCAGTACTGCCTGGGAAGTCAAAATACAGGAATGTGAAATGCCATTTGTATTTTGAGTAACGTTATGGCAAAAGCCATTTACCAGGAGGTCATTTATCAGTGTGTTGAACTTGAATRTGCACTTTGTAATATTTTATTTATTCACATTCAATACTCCGAGCTTCACAAGCAATAGCTTTCCACAAGCTATTGCATGACTGTGAGCATTGCAGGTCATCAAAACAATTTTATCAGTGCAGAGAGGKGGAAATCTGAAAAAAAAAAAAAAAACATGTAGCACCTCCAGCATCTAAATTACTGGGTATCAGAACCACATATAACTATAACTTCACGAACAGCAAAGGAGAAAGACTGTTTCCAGTAGTTATGACCTTTTGTTTTTCAACCTCCAGGTCTTGTTTACAGAACCTCATTACAGGGATATTTTAAGCATGGCTGTGGCAAGAGATACAAGCTTTCATGGTCATTTGTTTGTCAGACCTGCATGTCAACATCTCTTTTTTTCTTGGAATCATTACACTAGAAAAAGTAATTAAATTTAAAAAATCTTTTTCTGCGGTCACCCAAACGTCAATCTTCAGAGTCATTCTGGATTTACCAATATATGACATGCAAAATCTAAAATCTATTCAATTTTCTCTTTATGAGAACATCTATAAGTAGGCCAAATGCAGAGAAGTGCATTCATTGATCCATCAGGAAGGTGGGTGCCTTCCTCCTTTGAAAGACAAACGAGCTTCTTGTCACTTGCCTTCTTGGGCCACAAGAGACAGAAGTGCACAGTGATACTGTAATTTCAAAGTATGAGGTCAGCATTATCTGAAGACCTTATTTCAGTAATTGAAAAAATGCCTACTACACATAMTGTTGATCCTCTGTGTTCAAAAAGGTGTGTAAATTCACCATTTTTTAATGAAAGTGAAAAATGAAACTGGAGTTGACATTGGTCTCCTTTGAACCTCTCTCAACACGCAGAGGAAGCGGAGGACAGTTAGCATTGTAAACGTYCAAGAAATGGCCTTAAAGCAGATGATCTTCTTTGGAAGCTCCCTTCCAATTTCAGAAGAGCTCCTTTGTTTCTGGGACTAATACAAAAAAATGAAATAACTTTATATCCAGAAGGAAAGGACACTAACCATATAATTATTAGACTTTCTTCAAAAACTTATTATGGTTATGGCAATGGAATAATGGTCAGGTATAAATTTCTCCATCCTATGCTAAGACAAAATGCTCGAACAACATATATCCTTCAGCCTTGCCATTGGCAGGTAGACTACTCCAGATATAAGTACACACACCTTGGATTTCAAAATGTCTTTCAAGACTGACCAAACTCCTAACTTCATGCTCTAAAATAGTTATTTTTAATTACAGACCTTCCTAAGCAAAGGAATGGGGTGTTTGAAAGCAGGCTTTTTATTTAAGTAAAGGAGACTTTTTGCTACAGTCTATGATTTTGCTGAGCTAACTATTAGTTACACATCAATCGTATTTGGTTTCTGTGAATCTCTGCTATTCATAGTACATTATTATTAATAATCTATGTCAATTCAAAATACTAATTTACTAAAGAACCTGTACTGCTACTCTTCTAGGAATCTCTTCAAATTTGGCAACCTTGTAATCACAGCGACTTCAGCTGCCCAATCTGTCTGCAAACAGCTACTTGCCCAGTAGAAACCAACTGTGGACATCTATTCTGTGGTAAGATTTCTAGATTCACTACAATGATTATACTGGCTGCTCAGTCTTCTTACAGAGTTCTCAGGTTCTASAGACACAACAGTCCAAGCCTTTGCCCTGGAATCAACGTAAGTTCTGCCACCAAAAACTGGAGAAGTCCTAACTTTAAATCAGTAAAAAAAAATAGTAACAATATTTTTATGTACACATTGATTTCACATTTACAAGGTGCTCAAGAGCTTTTGAAATGCTCAGGAAGTCTCAAGAGAAGCAGAGAGCAAATCATCTCACTGCTAAAGTACAGCAGAAACTCACAGAATGGGAAAAAGGTCTATAAAAACACACAGTATATTCAGTTATGTGAAAACCTTTGCTACAGAAATTAACAGTCTTRCAATTGTACAATTTGTGACTGTAAAAGCTCAAGATATAACAATGTCTTATCTTCTAGCATGAACTCACTCCCAMGCAGCCAGCTTATCTTTCTGTATATCAGTACTGAGCAGCATAAAACCCCAGCTGTCCCGTAAAATCGGTTCTGGCTCCATGATGTACTCTGCAGGCTTGCTCCTGTGTGAAAGCGTTGCATAAAATATAGCAGAGGTAATCTAGAGAAATAAGGCATAATTGCTGTATTTTATAGTACTGCAAAAGAATTCTAAATGAAAATTTAGGGGACATTACACACTATGCTATTAGAAAAGTGAGTTTTAGTCATATATATGACTTTTTAAAAATATGTTTAGCTTTTTTTTTGAAGTAAATTGTTGTAGTCATATGGAGAAAATATGCTTGAAGGCATCATGATGCACGCTCAGTAACTCTGCAGCATCTGTCCTAGCAGGAAACWGTCAAGTTTGGATTTAGACACATTGTTGGGGGAAACACTGTGAAAGTCTTTTTTTTGAGGCTGCCTGCACTGTGATCTCCTGGCCTCATCCAATGCAACTAAATTCAGTGGATAATTTAAGTAAACCCTTAATTCTGTAGATCCATGCATCTGCTAAATGCCTTGTTTGAGGCTACTAAGGAATACAGTTAGGATAAAAAAAAAATGTTAAATGGAAATCAAGGATGGYGCACAAAATAGTTAAGTATATTCTATTTCTAAAGGTGATCTCAGGATTTTTAAGGCTCACATTCTGTACCACTGGAGTCAGTGGGAGCTTTGCAGCTGCTTCCGAAGGCAGCAGGATAAGATCACTAGGATGCCTGAGCAGAATTTAATTTTCTGTCAGACCTCTGACACATCCTGCAGTGAAGCAGGCGTGCTTTACAACCTCACTGCCCCAGTTTCTTGCCACGTCCCTTGCTGAAGGCCTTTGTCTCCAAAAGAGAGGTGACAGAAGAGAACCAGTTTTATGATCCGATGAGGCAGAAGCTGCYGGTGAAGGTACCTTAGTGCAGCCTGAGATCAGCGATGTCTGACAGAGGGGCAGGGAGACGGCTGGAGGCAGTACCATCTGACACTGCAACAGCAAGACACATCAAAAGATAGTGGGCAGAACCATGAAGCTCCTTTCCGCTGTTCTGGGATTTTAGAGATTTAAAGCAAATGTAAGCTCTATTCATAAGCCATTTACACTTTTTTCACCATMTAAGACTATAATTAAAAGGCATGGGCATAAATGAGTGCAAGGAATTATGCTGTTACTGCTGTTGCAAGAAACATGCATTTTTGTTTTTTAGAAAGTGCCATTTTGGTCTAGATTGACATGACGCTCACTCAGAAGAACTCCCTCAATGCTGCCACTATCCCATCCTGTGAAACCACGGCAAATCAATGAACCACCACTTTGATGTAGGGATCGCCAGCCACATGAGTAACATCATATAAACGTTTCAGGATGTTTCAGGTTTTCATGCACATAACCATTTTTTAGCATGCTCATATATGCAGATGGGATGCTTTCAATATAACTCATTCCAGAAGAGAACATTTCATAAGGCCTCAAAACATGTTTCAAATAATATCATAGAAGTTATAGTTTCAAATACAAAGATAGACATAACAACAAAGATCATTACCTCTCTCCTTTCTCTGGCAAGATTTAATTTTCCCTTTTCCATCTGCGAATAAGGCATAATGGGCTTCGTTTTTATAACATCTAGACACCTGCAGAGAAATACCAAGTACAAGCTTTGTATATTGTTATCATGAGCTCATTATATTTAATTATGGTTTATTTTCCCCCAAGTACATTGGCATTTGCGCTCTGAAGCATAGATTCCAGTGCAGTGCATTATGCATGTCAAGATGGTATTTATACAGTAGAAGCAGTCTTTGTAACATGTCTGTTTTTCATGTCTTAAACCAATAAAACGTTACACTGAGCTTATCAAAACCATTCTGCATAGATCTAAGTCTGTTGCGACTGAAATTAGTAATAAAACTTTCCTGGATGCCCTCCGGAACCGAGCTAGGGCAATGCTGCGTACGCCTAATAAATTCCACTTCGGTAAAAGTTTTATTTAGAAAATGTGGTCAACCCAGAGCTTTTAAAGAAGATTAATGTGGACTTATAAAAAATGTCTGATTTTATTATTGGTAGTAACTCATACAGTTTGTCCTGAAGTTTTCCTTTTCAGCTTCAGTTTGAACCATATGTTCAGGAAGTTCAAGTGAAAAGTGATCCTGGAGCAATATTATTTTTTTCTAATTAACTATGACCACAGAGGTATTTTAGACAAACCTATGGACTCCCTCAGAAAGCTGTGTAGCAAGCTAGATTAAAACAGGATTTTGTCTATTTTATGAAAAATGCATTGAAGTACAAATGGGTCAACTTCAGAGGAGTCCAGCCTTCCTGTTCTACTGAACAAATGATTCTGCACGTAGTGAATTTTAATTTCTACTGGCTGCTTTTTTAAAGCCCTTGAAGAACTAAAGGATCCATTATTATCCCCTTGTCTTCCCTTGTGCCTAYGCACAATACACCACATTGATCATGGTACAGGATCTGGACCTAGATAGGCAGAGCAGTTCTGAAGTCAGGCATGATGTTTGTCCAATGCAAAAGTTCAAGGAAAACCTTAGAGTCGGCTGCCAGGCTGAGTTTATACATCTCACATGGAGATTTTGATATACACAGTCATGTGCCCAAACAACTGTTCTGTATGTGCAAACAGAAGAGCAGAGGCATAAAGAAAAACCCTGCACTCCACTGAAAACAAAAGCAAGCAGCATTGCTCCAACAGGGAGGGCGAGGCTCATCAAAATGTCTGGAGGCCAAACTTAACATCTCTCTTTTAGAGAACCTAATTGAAAATGTCATTACCATTTATATACTTGATTCAAACACATTGTTTCTCTAATATCCACTTTTCAGTGACAATGGGCRAAGAATGGCTGGGTGCAGAAAACCCTGCACAGAGGGCTCCTGAAGGCTTCTTGCTTACCAGGCCCCATTTGCTGGCCCTGGTTGTTTATAAGAACAAAGAGCAGAGTTCATTTCCATAGGACAGCTCCATCAGTGCACGGCAGTGCACTGCTCTGCTTCTGTTTTCGCTGGGATCCTTGTCAAATTTGATCAGGTTACATGTTAAGACWTTTTTTTCCCTTGACCTGTCACTGCACACTGCGAGCCCGGGAGCTGAAAGTCAAKCTGTGCTGCTTCTGATTAGATGCTATTTATGCTCTGCTGTATTTGCTGCTAATGCCAGCACTGACATTTGTGTACATCAGCCACTGCTGTCATTAACATGGGCAGCCTAATCTTAGTGCTGTGGACCCAAAACATGGAAGGGCACCTGTATTCCAGAGTGCTTCAACCACAGCCAAGAGAGCTTCAAGGAGAAGATGCTATCAAAAGGAATAAAAATATCAAAGTCTCCCTGGGGGTGCCTATGTATCTCTGTATATATCGGTGTAGAGGTACTATTTTTACACAGTCACTTCGCACAGAAAAAACACATTAAAATGGTAGCAAAAAAATTAAACTAATTTTACAGTCAGTTGTAGAAAGAGGGTCTATTAATTCTGAAAATTACCTTATATAAATTAAATACTTTTAAATGTGCTCCATATATCTTAATTTCATCTTTTTTTTTTTTTTTTTTTTTGAGGTCCCTGTCTTATCACATACTGGAAACATAGTCCCTGTTTAGGAGCTATAACCTGTCCTCTCTGCAGACAAAAGGTGAGAGTTCTCTCTCTTGTAGTCATCTGTGTTACAATAACTACTAGCTTTAACACTTACAGAYTAACTTTATCTATCATCTGATTTTCCATAGCATTTGATAACCCACTTAGACTTGAAAGACACTGAAGCCATTCACATTTATCACTTGGCACATGTCATATTAGGCAACTCTGTGAAATACTAAACAGGCCTCCAGCAACTTACTTCTGTATAGCTCATTAACTCTCCAGCATAATACACCATAAAAAAACTATACAGAGTTTCTTAATCTCATCTGACCCATGCCAAAGGCTGCCTGATTTATTGGAAGATTGCATGCAGGCTGTAAAAGAAATCTGCATTAGTAAATATTCTTGCTCTAATGGAACTACTGACTTGAGACAAAGATCAGCCAGACAGGGAGAATATGGACAGCCATGTACTACAGAATAATATCCTTAATATATTAAAATATACAGTGCTAATGTTTATCTTCTCTTATGAAGGTGATTCTTCTGGATAATATCTCTTGTGGAAAACAACAAGATAAACCAACTAAACAAATTGTGCATGACATTAGAAATTACAACAAGCGCTTCTCAGGGCAGCCTCGACCTGTAAGTGCTTCTAATTCCTTCCACATGTACCTAGTTGAGCTGTATAACACATAGTGTATTGAAAAAGATGCAGCAATGAAAAAGGAATCTGTATAAATATGTGGATTACCTCTATATGCCACCACTTGTTTGTGGTGCCCTAGGAAAGGCCTTACCAACCTCTACTGGATTCAGCATCTTTCCATAAAAACGCTTCTTGGATTTCCTAGCTTGAAGCGGTCATTTTGCAGCCATCCTGGCAGGGAAGAGAAAGCAGGGTGAGATGAAACAGGTGGTAAAGCACAACTAGAGATGTCAGCCTGAGGCTTTCAAATCAGAGTTCAGATTTGAGCTCTAGGATTTTAATCTGCCCCTAAAATTTTGGTGCCAATTCATTGCCAAAGGTGAGCAGTCCAGGCAGGCTCCGTACTTTATTACAGCTGGAATCCCAGCTGGTACAAAGACATGACAGGCAGTGGAAGGGATGTGCAAGACGAGGGGGCTGAGGCTGCAAGTGAGGCCTGTTCTTGACAGCATGTAGAACAGCACCACAGCAAGAGCCCTTTTCTGTCACATCCTGGTAAGGAGCCTGAAAAGGACCACRGAGCTTGCTTTAATCCATGGCACTGTGAAGGGCAATGTTATTTTTTAACCCAATAAACTAGCATTAGGGAGGGGGAATAATCACTCAGTCCTATGGTTCCTGTCCACACTAAGCCAGGGCTTAAGGCCTCATTTTCAAGCATTCATAACCTGCACTTGATGCCAGACTTGAGAGAGGCATATGCTCAAACAGTTAAGTCCCAGTTTCCAAAAGTATTCAACATACATAATTCTTTCTTTTCAAAGTGCTAGGGGAATGGGGATTCCTTTTAGAAGTGTGTCTCTATATCCTGCAAAAAAATTAAACTGTAGGTGGACTTGGAGAGCACAGAAAGTTTTTATATTCAAGAGTTCTGATCTAAAAGTTCTTAGAGAATTGTTCAACATGAATTAGAATGTAATATACCATAACTCACCTGTATATTCAGTTTGCAGATTACCTTTATGACATGCCGTTACTCCTGACTGTTGTGTTGCGAGGAATCTTTACCTGGGATGGTCTCGTATGGATTTTTTTCCTAAGAGTTGCTGTTTGTGCTTTAGGGGCAATCATTTGCTTACCTTCTCCATTCAACACAATGCCTGGGCTTCTCTGCAGGATACTTGGAGCAGCTGATGACATGGTGGTAGTTTTCCTTCTTTTAATATGCATGATAAACATTGGCCAGCAAATTCTATCAGACAGGGTAGATATGGCAAGGTCTGCATCTCAGAGCATGCTACTGGAATCCTGACTCACATCCTGATCCCTCAGACTTCATCAAATGGTGAGGGGCTTCGCCTTGGTTTGTGGCAGCATGTGATGGGTTTGTCATTCTGCTGCAGACAAGGGCTGAAGCAGGACTCGAGATGCTGGGCATGGCCAGGTGATCCAGYGTGCATGTGCTTACAAGGCTGGGTTTATATGTAACTACATTTGCTCGTTCATGCTGGACTTCTCTACTTCTATTCATTTTGAGAAGTTAGCAAAACATAGAATTTGCTAAATCTTGTATGATGCAGGCTATGTTAGATAATACCTCTGCAAATTCCTGTATTGGCACTTTGTGCAATCATAGTTACTTATATATCCATTGCAAAACAGATTTCTACAGCTCTGTATCAAGTAGAGGCCATATTCCAAAACAGACAGCATGAAACTCTCAGAAACACTTGCTTGAAACAAAAATGCAATTATAAAGTGTAAGCATTACAAGGGGAGAACAAGCAGTGTGAACAGATCCTTGTGTACCACTTTCATAAATGCCTCTGCAAGGTACGCAGCTTCCCTGAACTCTGTGCATCTAAGTTTTAACGAAGTCAACATGACAGGTTGTTTCCTCTGTAGACTTTGCACGCTCCTTGTGACTTCCTTGTTACGGCATGATACCAGTTCAGCCGGAGAGATCAAAGTCAAATTTGTGGTGATGATATAAATTGCAGGAAGTTTATGGAAAGTTTGCTAACATTGATCTGCAAAGAGATTAAAAGACTGGTGCAATACCAGTCAATGTTGTATATCTGTCCCTGTATAACCTGTACATTTGCTATGTGCTTGGGAGTCAGTGGACTTCATTTTTACATATTAGTTGTATATAAATATGTGTATAAGATAGATATACTAAAATATATGAGTATTTATTGTTCTCAATACACTGCTCTCCAACTGTTCTTTCTTTCTGTGTATTTTCAATTGATATTTTTTATTGTACTTTTCAATTGTATGCTGTGATGTACCATGATGTTGCAGGAGTTTTCTCTTTTTGTTATGATGTTTCTTCATTTTATTCCCATCAGCTGGCATTGTTTTTAATTATGTCCATGAACTTGTAAAGCTGTTTCTCCTAACAATGGGTACTTTGGAAATGGCAACAATTGCTTTTCCATGAACTATGAGGCAGGAAGTGCATTGTTTCTTTAAAAAACTTAACAGATGTTTTTGACTGCTAGCATAAAAATAAAAATAAACCACTATTTTCCAAATTCTTTAAGTGCAGTTTTGTTATTGTGTAACTTCTGTTTGCATTTAGTTGGAGTTATAGCCTATGCCATTGCTAAAGACTGGAATTTCTATCAAGTTAAGTGTATAAAGATGGAGCCCATTTTTATGAATACTAACTCCATGTATGTGGACTGTAGGTTGTTTCTTTTGCATAATAAGGGCTCACTGAGAGGATGGAGGATTGCAGGTTAAGAAATTAGGGGCTCTCATTAACGATTTAAGGCAGAGTTACAACTGATTTATGTGTGCTTTTGTGCTCTGTCGCCTGGTTCTTCCTCTCTTCCCTCAGGGCCCTTGATTTTGCGTTTTAAACAGAGTATTATCTTCCAGTACTAACTCACAGCCAAATGGCGGAGAGAATTTGTGAGAAGATCTCTCTAAAGGCGTGGGCAGGATTCAGATCTCGCAGGATCAAAACAATTTGGGCTCTCTGAGGGAAACATTTTTCCTGTAGACAACCAAAGCATCCAAATTCTCTGTTCCCACGGGTCAGTCATGCCCCGATCTGGAGGGCGACACTGACACCATCCGTGTCAGCCTTCAAAATCATCTGAGAACAAAGCAAGGCCTCTGCTGTGGATCACTGGGAGGTTTCTGAGCACTGACAAATGCTGGTGTAAGGCAGGAAAACCTGCGTTCTGTCCCCCTGTGTTCCCTGTTGCCGCCCCGTTCAGCGCAGTGGGAAYGGACGCAGCGAGTGGGGCTCTCCCAGCAGCAGAGGGCAGGATGGARGGAATGCACCTGCACTGGGAGCCTATTTTCAGCGCCCGCGCCTGGGCAGCATCATCTTACAGGATCGACGGTGGCCTGTTTCGCATCTGCACCGTGATTAACGTGCACGCAGACCTAGTTACCTGCAAAAGCCAAAACGGCTCCATGTTTTGACATAAAAATGACTGCTCTGCAAGAATGGAGACAGAAGAAATGAAGTAGGAAGCAGGAAAAAAAAAAAAGGAAAACAGAGAGAAAAACGTTTCTCAGCTGCAAAAGCAATTCYGGAGTATCACCCACCAAAAAGTACTATAATCATAGTTTAAAAGAAATAATTATAATGGAAATCACACCTTGGTCTTAACGACAGCACAGCTAGAATTTAAAGGCCCATCCGCAGGGCAACCAAYGGTTATCTGTGAAAAGCGAGGGGAAGGGGAGCGCTTCCCTAGGGGCTGCAGCCACCGGCCACGTTACCTCTTCTGCAGCTCCTGCTTGTGGCCACACTCCGAGCAGGGACACGGGGCCGCCAGCAGCTGCCCTTGCTTTGCCTTCTCTGCCTGGGGTAAATAAATGATTATTCTTTTCTCCCGCTCTACAGGGATCGCAGAGAGAAAACAGCCCGTGCCTCACATTGAAATGAGAACATTTTATTTTTAATCAAAAACAAATCCGTACATTTTTAATGATAAAAGTATATCTTCGCAGTGGCAACACAGTGAGTAGAAATTACCTCTGTCTAAAGCACCTGGAAACCTGTCCCCCACAGCGCTCCCAGACTCCGCAGCCCGGTTAGAGGCTTTGCATGATCGAGCGATACTCCCGCTGATGCTCCACAAGTTTGAGAAACACTCGGTACTTCTTGTCGTAAAACCTGCGCGAGGAAGAGATTTGCGGCTGGAGCGGTGCCCTGACACAGCTCCGCTCTGCGGCCTGGGCGCCGGAGCCGCGCGGGGCGGGAGCGGGGAGAGCGGCGGGGCCCCTCGCGAGGGACCGGCCGGGCGTTTCGGGCGGTTCGGGGCTCCCCGCGCCGCCCGGAGCGCGATCCCGCTGCAGCGCCGCGCCGCGCCGCCGGGTGGCGCCCAAGGGCCGCGCGGGGACCGCGTCCGGCACCGGCACCGGGAGCGGGAGCGCGGCCCTCGGGCCCGGGCCTGGCACCGGGAGCGGGTGCGCGGTGCCCAGGCCGCACCGCGGCGCCGCCGGGCCCGGGCCTGGCACCGGCACCGGGAGTGCGGCCAGGCCGGGAGCGCCGTGCCCGGGCCGCATCGCGCCGCCGTGTCCGCGCCTGACGCGGGCCGCGCACGTCAACGTCGCCGCGAGTGACGCGGGGACGAAGCCCGCGTGCGGGCAGCGCCGCCAGCCTCCTTCCATCCACGCCTGTCCCGGCCTTCCCCTGCCAAGGGACACCGGGGGTTCGGGGAGAGATGAATGGCTGCCCCCCCAGCCCTTAAAACTGGGAATCAACATCCCTGCTTTCCATCAGGGTTGGAAAACGCCAGGCCGTGACTTAGTTTTGGGTACATACTCACAGGTGAAGGCGGCAAACTGGGGCTCACCTTTTGTGCCCGTGGTTTGGCTGCACAACTCTCCCGATTTTTCCCATTTTCACCATGGCCTCCTAGTAAAACACAAACACAAAATGGGAGAAGTCTGTTTTGGTTTAAAATGCTTTTTGACAAGAACAGCATGTTGCAAAACCAATCGGAACATTACTGATGTGTTTTGTTTCGGCTGAGCGGGCCAGATGGCACGAAATATGCTCAGAGCTGCTGCAGTTCATGAGAACCAAGCAGCGCAGAGCTCGCAGCAAACCCAAATCTGCGCCTCCCGCTTCCTGGGAGGCTGAGGCACAACAGACCTATCTTCTRTTATTTACACTAACCAAAGGAAATGTTAAACACTACATCCCCAGAGGGGTGATTTCTCAAATAAAATGGTATTTTACATGAGACCCCATAGTTGTTTTCCTAAAGCATCAATTCCCTACAGCAAGGAGAGGGCTCRAGTGATCTCCAGAAGCTCAATGTAACTTGTGAAGTTCTGCTCTGCAGCTCTCYGAGCGCCTCATGTCCCAGTACAAAGGTGTGGGAAACAGAGCTTGATCCTACTCCGCTTTTGGCCAAAATGAAGCCAGACCAAGGGATCCTGTAGAATCCCCTGCACAAGGATTCTCTGGGACAGGGTTGCTTGTGGAAGGGAGACCAAGGAGTTTGATTCTCTGCCTGATCTCTGTGAGATTGGGATTTTCTAGGGATTCTCCTAAGCAATCCCACTGGAATGAACCACTAATCACCAATGTTAGTAGAGGATAAAACTTAAGCTTTCAGGCAAGGGTGAAGGCAGCAGGCTCACACTGCTTGTAGTTGAAGTTAGTTCACAAGAAGCATTTGAGCAACAGCTTTCAGATGTAGCAATGTTAAATATATTATGACAAGATTCAAGTATCTGTGTCTCACTAAACCTACATCGGCCTTTATACTTTCTAAGGAGGTTCTTAGATCTATTTTAATATTAGCACCTAAAGCGTAACATGATGAGAACATCAGGATGACTCTGAAAGAACAAGCTGCTCCTGCTGGAAGCCATCTAGTCAAATATTACRGCTAGGTTTTTTAACGGGTTGGATGATTTTATAGTCTGTAATATCTGCTGTAGTAAAAACTCTGTAAAAACTCCAGTAATCCAGCATTTTTATAGTTGAGGATCAAACAGGGCACTACAACGTACGTGAGCAATGTTAGCACAATTTCACCACCCCAGAAGAGGGTGCCCATCTAAATGTGTTTAACTACAGTGTGTAAAACGTATTTTTTTACATTTTTCTACTCCAGAGGGTAAGTCCTAGATGAAATCCTGGCTCTACCAAAGTAAAAAATGCTGACTGATGCCAGCACAGTCAGGATTTTATTCTTATTAATAAATTCTGATAAAGCAGCAGAGAGGCATTTCTGGGTATTCATATGCTCAATACCAYTTTAGATGTGCAAAAGCTGATTGCACTCTTGATTTCCTAAGAAACACCCTTGAAATAACACTTGTAGTGAGATAGCGTGTTCCCTTCTCGGGGACATGTGAGCTGGCTGGCAGAGAAATCCTGCACACCGGCCAGATGAAAATACTGACACRGAAAGGCTGATGTCTTTCCTGGGAAGAGAAATGACCCTTTATTCCCTGCTCTTTAACAGGTGATGCTCACTCCGGCGTGGTTCTTGCCTACAATAGTCTTAGCTTTCACAMC